TATGATTTGAATATTAAGTTTTATTTGTTGTTATTTCTAGCTTGGTTAGAGCTCATGATGCGTAGAACATCACTTTCGACGATCAATAATTACAGGTCATCACTCGTATGGGTACTGCTCGCACCACAGAGCGGTACTTTGTCAAAAACTCAATTCTGAAAAGTTTTACTAGCTAAGCTTGTTTTCCTAACATTTTATTATTATTTCATTTTGCATTTTAAACGTTTTCTTTAACTCAGAAGGCTTATAAAAATTTTAAAAGTTAAAAAATAAACATTGTTTTCGAATGTTAAAGTAATATTAAAAAGGTAAGGAAAACATTCAAGTATTAATATGTATTATAAGAAAATGCAAAAAATATATATTTTTTATTCAGAAAAAAGTTTGGTATGAAACATTTGAGATAGCCGACATTTAAATTATTCCCAATCTCAAAAACTTAATTAAAAAAAAGCGATATTTTCTCTTTTTCATGACCCCACTGCGTTGTTTGGTTTCTTCAAAAATCTTAGCGCAATATATATTGTTTGTAAGATGTTACATTTTTTTGTAATAGATTCTGTTTCTCTACAAAAATCCTAACTTACTAGTTCTAAAAAGCGTAATGCTATTTTTATGATTTAATAAAAGTGCTTTAAATGGTTATTTGTCTATACTTTTTCTCCAATAGAGGAGTTCTTTAGTTCTAAATTATTCCAGAATTACGTGTGTTTTTCATATTCTCAAGCTTATTTTCCAGTAGTCATATGAATCTAATTTCGCTCTATTACGTATTGAACACTGTATTGGATTTAGCAAACTGTTTATGCTGCCATTCTAACAGCTCTAATAAAATATTAACAGAAAGATAAGCATGCAATCATATTGTGCATCTTAAATTGACAAACAGACAGATCTGCAATTTTTTGTAACGTTACCAGGGAACATGAATGAATGATTGTATCATTTTATCTTGGAATATTTAAATGTGGTAATATACAAACAAGTATATAAAAAGAACTGTTTTTAAGTGATAAGGTTATACTTAATCCTTGTGAATATGCTTATAATTAAAGTCTCTTCTAATGAAGATAACGACTTCATTTTTAACTACTTTCTCAATAAAAGTCCTGTGACAATAATTGTGTTTAGTTATAGTAGTATTAAAGGTACGGACAAGGAAAATTATTCTAAAGTTACAGATTAATCAATGACCTCTACAAAAATGTTATTCTATGTAAAAAAATAGGATTCCCTTCACATGACTTATGGTTTTAATATAAATCTTACACAAAGTAAACATCGACGTAGAATCAACTTATACGGCAAACCATGGAAAGTATCTTTCTTTGGGATAGGTACCTCGAATTTGCTTTCAACAACGGCATTTTTCTAACGTAGTGAAATTGAACAAATTTAGTTATTCATTTATCATATTCTAAGTACAGGTTGAAAAACATGAGTCTTGAGGATCACTTTCAGAACTATGCAAGAATTAGTACAAAAAATAGTCCGTCAAAATTTAGGTGTAACGTAATTAAGCACTTGGCCGATTTATATATTGCTACGTAAATTATGTGTAGGGAATCCTATTTGTTTCATAGAATATCATTTTTATGATTCATTTTTTCAGATTGCATCTGAATGAGTATACGAAGTGGACTAAAAATGATAGAATGGGAACGTTGACGAAGATATCTCAGTACGAGGAAGTCGATTTCTATGGTATACCAATCAGTATCTTTAGTAAAAAACTTAAAAAAACTGAAATTTTTTTATACATGTTGGTCATTAAAGTACTTAAAAATATGTAGAAAGATTGTCTTACAACGAGTAACCTAGATTTATTTTCCGTAGTCCTGAATCAAGCGACATAAAAGATGACGAAGTTTTGAACTCCTTCGCGAAAAATGTATATAGCTCTATAGTGCCATGTCTGTAGTATTCATTGTAGCATTATCCACCACCTTACATTTTGAATATGTTCAGAATTCACTAATTTAGTGCTTAAACGCAATCATCATAACTAATAGTTACTTGTGAGTAGCAAAGTAAGTAATTGTATAGTAATTTATGTTTTCCTACATTAATTAATCAAATACGTTTTCAGCAACAAACTTTCAGATGAAGCTTTTGTCCATGCGTATTGTATTTATCACGATAACGATATACAGGCTTTTGATTTATAATTACTATTCGGCGAGTGTGATTTCGGCTCGACTCACTGAACAGATCGTCAAAATCAATGATTCCATGCTGATAGCTTGACGGAAGGTTTTTTATTAGACGAGTTTGCTGTATAAGTAAAGATTTCATGTATAAACGACAATTTTTCCTTACGTAGTACTCGTTTACTTCTGTTATTTAGTTGATGAATTAAACATGTCTTTGTGTCACGTTCGGTACAGAAAACACGCAATGAAGAATTTATTCTTGGATTGAAAATATTTCGTTTCTGACAATATGATTGCTGTATATTATGGTCGTGTACGTATAGTAGCTAATAAGAATATGTAGATCACATGCATATGAAGAAGCATATTGAAAAATGCAAATACCGCATGACTGTTAGTATATAGATCATTGTACATCTACTTGATCACAAAAGAAATATTTTGTGAACTAATGTTCAAAAAATGTAGTTGAAGCATTGTGATATATTTTTATTCTATTGTACAATGACTGCCCAAATTGAAGATGACTTTATATATAATTATTTCGTTCACAAAAAAGTGGCGATTATCGTTGGATTTATATGCCAGAGAACTATTGCTGACATGAGAGTAAAGTTCAATTGATGAGATCAATAATGCAGCAAATAAATCATTGTAAAACTTATTCAATTTTTAAATAAAGTTTTGTTTCTCAAAAGGTTGAATAAATTGAATATTAGAGTAACACTATAAATTATTCAATAATTCCATAAATCATGTGATCCAAGCTAATTATTATAAATTAGGAATGGGCATAGATCTCAGATATCATAGCAGCGTAATTATAACAGTGGCTTTAGTGGAAATAAATGTTTTCTTGTTACTTTTTTCTTATAATTAGAGGTGATACGGGGGATCATTTACTACCAACAAATAAGCTACTTTTGCTTAATAATTTCCAAGAATAAAAAGAATTAAGAAAATATATAAAGACACACCCTGCATTAACAAAATAACATTTGTAAAACAGGTAGCAAATAGTAGACTTTAGGACGAGCTTCGGTGTTGGCTACTATTAGGTCGCAATTGGGATGGTATCGTCCATGTAATAGATTATCGTTCCTTTAGCCTATTCATAGATTTTGTTATAGTACTTATGAATAGTTTGAGTAAATATCTCATGCCCTACGATGTATACAACCCTTAAAAACAAGGTCACAGCCACTTGAATATTAGAAGATTACCTACATGGGAGCCACAGAGGGGAATTTCTACATGGCCAAAATTAAATTGATGAGACGACTCAATCTTCGTGGAATGAAAAACATTTAAAACTGCTTTCTTTGGTGTGTGTAATTATTTCCGTCAATCATTGCCTTTTTTGACTAAAATATTTTTTTTTCAAAACGCAATATGTAGAGTAAATATACATAGTTCTAAAGTATATGGCAGAAATATTCAATATTAGGTAAGCATCATTAGGTTTATTGTTTGAATTGATAGATCATTTGTACGTTTATGTAGTTTACGCATAGGAGAAATCGCCAACTGGGAAAAGAACGATATAATAAAGCCGATGTCGCGAGCTTTAAACGACAATGATATCGACATAAGTGACAACCCTGTGGTGATAAATGAAACAATCCATGTACGATGAGCACCACGTAAGCTCATAATGATCGTAAAAGCAAAACGTTTAACTTTTCGCATGGGACTCTCATTTTATACCTTATTCATCCACTATAGAATTTATAGCGTTTTTTTAAGTATCTTCTAGGAAAACTTGATGAATATTTAAAGAAAACGCGAATAAGGCACATTAAAACGATAGTAAAGCAAAAAGAAATCGCGTATAAATGGTTATTAATTTGTGAAAAGATTTTTGGACATATTTAAAGAGTTTCTCGCCTGGATTGCTTTTTACATTGAAAGAAATGGTAACAGTACAAGAAAGGCTCGAAAAGAACAGCATATTAAAAGTTTATGTATATTACAAGTAGGAGGTATAGCCAAGTGCGGAGAAACCCAATAGTAATTCACTTATTGCTGCGATTCCTATTACGTTTCTTCGACGAAAATCTTCAAAAATGTTGTATGCTTTCGTATATAATCACAAAATGGAAATTAAACATTATTAAAAGTAACATTTTTTATTGAGTTTTGAGTATTTGTAAAACAGCGTAGGTTGTATCTTCTACCGAGGAAAACAATTTATCACGTAAATATTTGTTCCTCTGCGTACTAACAGAATTGACGTAGACGATTCTGATTAATGTACTATAATTATTTGTTTACTTTGTAATCTCCATGTAAACCACGCGTAATATATTGAATCTTTTAATAAATTGATTTCTATGTACGTCATTATCAACTTTCTACACTTTCCACTTATTATTTACACTTTTACATTAAATATAGCAATGAATTTTCTTTATATTGCATAGTATGACTATACTGTCATAATACAAAGTAAATTCCACAAATAATTTTATCATTAATACTTTTGTCAATAGATTCTAGAAAAGAAATAGCTCATTATCGATTTGCTAGGAAACTGAGAAGGTAGTTAACGCAGAGTATGTATAAACTGTATCTTGACTGAAACTCGCTAAGTATACAGTAATCGTTACGTAAGTACGAGGTTTGCATATACGAAGTATTATGATAGGCTTATAAATCAGTCAAATAAAAATTCTTGCTGAAATAAACGACACTAAACAAAACACGCGATTTTATCAATATTACGCTTAGTATGCTATTGCAATTTGTAGACAATGTGTTTTCAAGTCTGAAAATGCACTGATAAAGGATAAATTGGCATTTAGTATGAAATATCTTCAGACATAAATGTGAGAGTGTATTAAGGTGATGAAATTGGAATTTCTTATTATTCTGTGCATGTTAGAAAAAATTAAAAGCAATGAACAAAGTAACTTTCTTATTGATTACTTTGTTTTCAAAAACGTCCCATATGTCGTTGGATTTTCGTGTTACAATATCGAAGGTAAATCATTATTATGGATGCATAAACTTGACAGTATCGATAGGAAGTATTTTATGGTTTACAGAAAAACTGACACTGTCAAAACGATTCAATAGATTGGGAATTAGAACTTCGTTTCATTATTTAGACAGTGGCTCTCAAATGTTTTATTTAATAAATTCAAAATACTGGAAAATAGGAGTTTTTATTGATATCAGTTGTATTGGAGGAAATAAACTGCATTCCTTTTTATCGAAAGTAAGTTATTATGAACATTTTAATTTATATATTAGAATGAAATATATTTGTTTATAAATAATTTAATGAAACGTATAGTAAGGACATTTTTTATTTAATTTGTTAGAAAATTAGTATACGACAAAAAAATACTTAAAATTTGCGAAAGATTTTTTAATAGCAATAATAAATTATTCTACAAAATCACACAGGTGGCTGCGTGGCAATTATATGGTGAAATGCATAGTTGGTTGATTTTTACTGACAGAGACTTGTCGAAAGCTATTGCTCAGCTTGATGAATCTGGTTTCGGAATGTCTACCGATTTGGTAGTCGCAGTACCAATTTTAGGCGGCTATGAACTATTTGATGTGTATAATCCGTGGAAAGAAGGTGACGCTAAGATAAACATAACACGTCTAGGTAGTTGGATTCAAAGCACCAATCTTAATATAACTCTAAATCAAAGCAAGTTCAGAAGAAGATGTAATCTACACAGAATTACGATGAAGTCTTCATTTTTTGGAGTTGGTTATTGCTTGTACTTTAGAAAATGTCCAACATTAACTACAAAGTATTATTTCGATTGCAGAGTAAATATAGGCCCAAGAATATGTCTCTCGAGGAGTATTTGCAAGACTATTCAACACTTTCGAAAGACGGTTTGTCCAAATTTGGCTACATTATGTTGAAACACCTCTCGGAAATGTACAATTTTACGTAAGTAGTTTTTAGTCGACAACTTATTTTCTCATACTTACAAAGAACTCAAACAATACTCTTACGATAGATTTCGTTTTGGAGAAGTAGAAACATGGTTGCCAGGAGATTCGATTGGTCCGCTTTCGCGTGCACTTCTGGACAACGAAATACAGATTACAGGTAGTCCAGTTGTTATAACGCATGAACGATTACGGTTAACCAAATTCGTGTACCCAGCATGGCCGTTTAGGTAGTCATTTTATATTTTGATTCTTTACAATATTGTCCTTTATTTTGATTATCTGATTCCCAGATAATTTATATTTTCTTTTGTTGTACATTCTTTTAGAACGTGCTTTATTTTTCGCAATCCACAAGCGAAAGACATTAAAATAGGCGAAGTTCTTCATCCGTTTGCCGATGAAAGTTGGTATGCAACCCTCATTGCTCTGATGACAATATTTATCATTTTAGCGGTATCTCTTAAGCAAGAAAGTTACGTGATCTCAGCGAATATTTTGTCCAATGCGTTTCTAATAACCGTAGGCTGTATGTGTCAACAAAGTAAGTGAAAGTAGGGTGTTATTTTTTTGAAATAAAATAACAGATATCCTTATGGAATAATTTGTTTTTTTATAGGTACGCATTATAATCTGAATAGAATATCCACTCGCATCGTATTCATTCATTTGATGATATTCAGCATTTTAACGTACACTTACTACTCTGCAAGCATAGTTTCAACGAGATTGAATGAGCCTATTTTGAAAATCAACGATTCGCTGAATGAGCTTGGAAAACTTGAGCTCAAAATGGCTTCCGAGCCAATGATTTATTTCAATTTTATTTTCAATCGAGTGACTGCGTGGGACAAAAAAGTATTCGTTGAAGATAAATGGATGAAGATCCCTGAGCCTGAACAATTCATGTACCCTGAAAAAGCTATGACTTTGGTTCGCAAAGGTGGCTTTGCATATCATACACATCCAGACGTCAGTTACCCTATTATTGATAAAACTTTTACTTTTCGAGAAATTTGCGAACTTATGGAAGTGCATCCAGTGGCTCCCGCGTATTCAACTTTATCCGTTAACTATAACAGCACTTTCGTCGAGCTGACTAAAATTGGGTAACCGCATGTTTTTAATTGATTATTCATTGAAGAATTTTATACAATAAACAAACAATTTTCACAAAGGTTATCACGAATGACAGAAGTTGGTATACGAAGTCGTCAGGTAGAACGATGGACTTCGAAGAAACCAATCTGCCGACAAGATGTAATAAACGTTTCCAGTACGGATATTTATGAATTTGCACCTCATCTCATTCTTCTTGTTATTGGAATGATAATGGCCGCAACCATTTTCGTTTGTGAATTTGTTTTTGATAACTACTGGAACTATCAGGACAGGTATTTATTTTTCGAGTTCGTAGATACTACCATACGTGAGTAAATCCCCAAAATTTTAAATTCAACATTTAAAAAACTTTTTTTTCAATTGTAGGCACACCTTCAAATAAATTTTCTTTTAGCTTATTTTATCCTGAATAACTTTAAACAATTCGGGCAATTGATATTTTTATGAGTTTTTCTTGTAAAACTGCATAATTAGCCATAATATAAAATTTTTAAATAACATTCTTGTCATGAGTCGAGAATCAGATACAAATATTATCTTAATAGGTAAAATTAATAATATATTTCTTTATTTTTAAGTAATGGTGTCATAAGTATGAAAAATAGCTAAAAATAAGCCTATGGAGCTTGTTGAGCGGCTTTTGTCCATATAAAACCGTCTTCTAATCTCTAGGATAACCCCGCTTTAGGATAACGTTATTGTTATTAAATAACTGAAATTTAAAAAATTTTGGGGATTTCTTTATACATATTATACGTTATCATATATAATATTGATATTGAAGGTGTGAAAATAAATACTGTGGATCATCTAAAAGTAATATTTCTACGACACATTCTCTGTTGCTGATGCTATGCAACACGAACAAATGAAAAAAGTATTAGATCAGGGGCAGTCGATTGGAACAACTTCAAAAAATACTAAACACTGTGTAATATGACAATTTTTGTACGGATAAGAAATATTACAGTTTACTAAGGTTGATGATTTACTACTGGCGTTCAAGAGCTAGTGATTGATATTTCATGACTTTTTAACTGTTCTTTTCAAAAGAATATTTTCAAATATAACTAATACAATTGTATATATGTCCGGAAATCTTCAAGTTGTATCTGTTATGAAATCTGTATAAAACAATCGTTAATAAATTGAAAAATTACATATTCATGCAAACGAAGCAAGCATTCGCTTGTTTCGTTTGCATTATTTTTGCAGTATTAATTTCGCATTTTCTGTAAAGATAAAAAAATTATATATTAAAGAACTAAGGAGCATAATATTCTTTTACGTTTATTATTTTTTTCGAAACTCACTGTGTATCTTAAATATATATTTTTTAAATTATTTCTAAACAAGTTATTTTGCTTCAGATGCTTTGCACAATATAATTTATGTTACGAAATATCAATTTTAAATGATCGTTCCGGTTGATATATAGATACATATGTTATATGATCACCTTTCGATAAGTAAATTTTGAACCTTTTCCATTGTTTTTATAATTCAAAATTTTGAAAAATTCTTAACAGGATGATCAATGTATAGTGTGATTTTACAGTGTTTCTACGCTATCGCAAGATAAGTTCATTTGAATAATAAATCACTATTTTTATGCCACGTGACTATGTAAAAGACACCATTTTTAGTGTCGTCATATAATGCGTACATTTATGACAATGAAAAATATTGCAGCTAATGAAAATTAATATCTTAACAAATGATAGACAAAAAAAATTTCTAATAATGCTTGCTCAAGTGTTATTGATAAATTGTTAGTTTAAAATAGGATCATTCCGATTTATGTAGATAAAAAAATAATGTTATACCATCAAGTACATGTATGTTAACTGACAAAATAATGAATCAATTTTTTTTTATTTTTTTTACTTATTTTTTATTTATACGGACTACATAGTGCAAAGTCTTGGAAAATTTATCGACTCTAAGCCAATACGTCGTATGGTTCTACATTATTTTCTTTTAAATTATTTACAGACAAGTTGATTAAGAACAATTAATCTATATATTGATGTCTTATGACTTCACAAAGTAGATGTGATTTTTGTATCATCATATTTTCATAATTAGAACTTTCATAAAGATGTCTAGGCATCCGACTAATAAACGTTCAGTACTTCGTTTATCTTCCAAACGAATATGTACTTTAGATTATTTATTTTTTTCGCTTTCTTCGGGGTTTTTCATGCCACTGAAGATATCAAATTTATCATAGATTATTTTAATTACAAAAGAGTGTTGAATGTCGTTAGTTACTCTTGCAATTATAATGAAGGCAAGAATAGATTAAGAAGTACATACATTTTTGAATTTATATTGTAACTCTATAATGTTGAATAGAGTTATATGTAATTTTTCAAATTACATTGTTTTTCTAATGACATCTATGCAAAATACTTTTGTAGATGATTTGTTACTCTGGAAGCAGTTTAGTGAAAAAGGTATGAGCCTAGCTTTAGCGAGACCTCACAGTGGATCCAATATTCAGAAATTTGCAAACACTACTTATTGGAAACTAGGAATACTTGTGGATACACGTTGTTCTTCTGAAGACTATATTGCTTCAATATTTTTTAACGTAAAATTTAGCGTAAAAGTAAAATGAAGCTGGAAGAACGATTAATCTTTATTATTATGATTCTTTTTGAACGTAGGCAACCAACTATAGAATGTATGATGAACTCCACTATTGGTTTATACTAGGCTACAATTTGACCAATGTTCTTAGTGTTGTTAATGACGGAGCTTTCGGAGTGTCAACGGATTTTGTGATTGCAGTTCCTGGTAGCGATGAAGGTTATGACTTGTACGATGTATATAATCCATATGAAAGGCGCGGTGGAATGCTCAACGTTACATTTTATGGTACCTGGACTGATAATAGTGGACTGTCAATACGTCTTATACAAATGAAAACATGGAGAAGAGCAGACCTTCATGGATTACTGATAAAAGCAATGTTTTTTCAAGTACGCTAATCAAGATAATCCTATTCAATAGGACTGCTACAATATGACTTGGATACATTTTTAGAGTCTGTATAGACCTCCAGACATGCCGTTGGACGAATATTATCAAGATGAACGGAATGGTACAAGAGATGGGCGTTCGAAATTTGGATATCATATTTTAACTCATTTATCGACCATGTTTAACTTCACGTAGGTTCGACTGTTCAAAATAACTTTTGATAACGATTTTTGTTTTGTAATACTCTTATATGGTTTCTTCATTCAAGTTTAGAATGTATAGAGGCTTTGCCGTGGTTAGCTAATGATTCTTTAGATCCATTGGCCCGAGCTATGACTAATATGGAAGTTGACATAACAGGCACGCCCTTGAACATAAATTTAAAAAGAACTTATTTGATGAAATTTCTCCATGAAGATTGGCCTTTTCGGTAATTACAAAAAGTGATTGGCTTGAATATTTCTAATAATAATGATCAAAACTTTCTAGAACATGTTTTATGTTTCGGAATCCACAACCAAAAAATATTAAAATTAAAGAAATATTTCGTCCGTTTGCCGATAGCGTCTGGTTTTTTATATCTGTGTTTATTGGAGCGAGTTTAATTATACTTAGTATTACTCTGCACCATGACCACAGGGAGCATAAGCTTATAAACGTTGGAAATTCTTTTACAATGATTATTGGTGCTCTATGTCAGCAAGGTGATCAAATAAAATTGTGAAAGATCACTCGTTTTATTTAAATTTGACAGGCTGATTTTACTATTTCAGGCACGGATGTAAAACTCCAATTATTTTCTAGCCGTATGGCTTTCTTATTTATTTTAATATTTAGTTCATTGATGTACAACTACTACTCAGCATGTGTTGTATCCGCTCGTTTGGACGAACCCATTATAAAAATCAATGATTCCTTGAATGAATTAATTAAATTACGTTTGAAAATGTCTTCCGAACGTATGCCTTACTTAGAAAACTTCTTCAAAGTAAGTACCGTTTTTTAAAATGATTTATCAAAAGTTAAAAAGTTATTTGTTATCATCGTAAAGACTCAATTTTGGGAAGTAAAAGTATTTCAAAAACAAGTCTGGAATACGATGACCGATGATGAAAAATTCATGGAACCTGAAGCTGGTATGCTACTTGTTCAAAGAGGGGGGTTTGCTTATCACGTACATCCAGATACGGGTTACACTATAGTAGAAAGATTATATGGAAATCGTGAAATTTGTGAATTGATGGAGGTTCATTTGTCTCGACCAAAAATGACGCACTTCGTCGTAACAAATAATAGCACATTCGCCGAACTCGTTCGAGTCGGGTAAAATGACAATAATATTTAAACACTTTATTTCAAACTAAGAAGACTACTTATTTTTAATAGGTTGACAAAAATATCAGAAGTTGGTTTACGTTCGCAACAGCTTCATAAATGGCAGCGCAGAAAACCTGTCTGTCGAAAGGATATCTTGAGTGCGACGAGTATCGACATTTATGAATTTGCACCACACTTAATTTTCATGATCTTGGGAGTTTTATTAGCACTTATTATTTATATTATTGAAATTGTTAAAAATAAAAGGAGAACTTAATTAATGATATATAAAAATGTCGAAATAGGAAATACACAAATTTGGGAAACTTTGATTTAAAATATTAAATACTGTGTAATTTTGATTAATCCTGTATATCATGCAGAACATACTTTTGTAATAATAAAAATATTACGGACAATCAAAAACTAAAATAATTTTTTAGCATTTTTGATAATTGATAGAGAAAAGAAATAAAATCAATATTTAAACATATAAAGAATTGATTTACATGGTCGCAAAAAGTCATAAAAGTAAAACTAATTTAAGTTTCTAAACTGTAGTATTTTTAGTGACGCAAATAGTAAAATAAACTTAATTAAATTATAATTTTAGAATTGTAGTAAACGATTACGGTTGATACTAATTGCATCATAACTGCTATAATTCGATATATTATATGGCTATTACAGCTAATGAATTCCATAAAATTTAGAAGCAAAATAATCTATCACTGACACGCAAACTAGACTACAATATCTTGAGTTGTAATATGGCTAAGCGAAGTATTCAATGTTAACGGACAATAAAATAACGAATCATCTTAGAAAAAATATATTTTTGTTTACCTTTTGAAAGAACATGTATTTACAAGTTATATTTTTATCTATGTTATTAAAATATATTAATGCCCTGACAGACGACAATTTTATAGTCGATTACTTTGTTCATAAAGGGATTTCAAGAGTTGTTGGTTATTCTTGCAACATTGCTACACGTAGTTCAATTTTTAACGATAATTTATGTTATACCATTGAATAATTTTTCTATTTTCTATTAAGGTTGAGAAAAAATATATAATCAATGACCCATTTCAGATGATTTGTTACTCCAGAAAAAATTTAGTGAAAAAAGTGTAGCAGTGTCATTGGTAAAATTAAGTGAGAAGTCATATATGGAGAAATATGCAAACGATACCACTTCAAGGCTTGGAATATTTTTAGATATACGCTGTTATGCCGAAGAAGACGTTATTTTAATATTTTACGAAGTAAGGTCTATAACTATAAAAATATATTTTTCCAACAGTGGTGAAAAATGTCTTAATTAAATTATAACGATTAAGGCAACCAACTACAGAATATTTGATGAATTCCACGATTGGTTAATACTAGGATACAATCTCAGTGGTACTGCAGATGTAATTAACGATAAGGCGTTTGGTCTATCAACAAATTTTATTATTGCAATTTCCGAGGATTTCGAAAGTTTCAATTTGTACGATGTGTACAATTGTTTCAAAGATCGAGGTGGAATCTTAAACATAACATTTTACGGCAATTGGAATTTTGAAAAAGGATTCACATTAAATTTAGTGCAGTCGAAGTTTACCAGACGAGCAAACCTTCATGGTTTGAAGCTGAGAGCAATGTTTTTTCAAGTAAGTCAGAAGAAAGTATAGCTAAAACTAATAATTTCACGAACAACCCAAAGTTCATAATGTTATCTGCTTTCCAAAGAGTCCCTACAGACCTACAAATATGTCAATAGACGAATATTTAAAAGATTATAAAAATACCACAAAAGATGGCCGATCCAAATTTGGTTATATTACTTTACGACATCTAGCAGATTTGTACAATTTCACGTTAGTTTCGGAATAATAGTATACCCGAGAACAAATATTTTGTAATATTTATTTATATAATTAGTTTTGAGAGTTCCGAGACAAAAAAATGGGAACCTGGTGACGCTCTTGGTCCATTGACAAAGGCAATGGCGAGTTTTGAATCAGATGTAACAGGGACACCCTTTAATATAAATATGAAAAGGACTTACTTAATGAAGTTTGTTCATCCAGATTGGAGGTTCAGGTAATTTATAATCTAATTATGTTTTCTTAAATTCTGACGCTGTTTGATATTTTTAGGACATGTTTTATTTTTCGAAATCCTGAATCAACCACTATTAAAGTAAAAGAAATATTTCGACCTTTTCATATCCATATTTGGTTTTCTTTATGCATAATACTTGCGATAGGTACATTTACTTTCAACTTGGCCTTAGGGTACGATAGTAACGAGTTCAAAATAATTACAATATCTAATTCATTCATTATGATGATAGGAGCATTATGTCAACAAAGTAAGTACTTCAGTATACAGTACAATTAATTATTTACAAAAAATGAAAGTTAATGTTCGTATTTTTTAATATAGTGATAATTGTTGTTTAATTATATAGGTTCAGATATAGAAATGACAAGAATTTCTACCAGAATAATTTTTATTTTTGTAATGATATTTAGTCTCCTTTTGTATAACTACTATTCGACTTCCATAGTTTCAGCTCGTTTAGATGAACCCATTTACAAAATTAATGATTCGCTCGTTGAAATGGGAAAAATGCACATGAAAATTGCTTCAGAAAATATCGTTTATATCGAATACTTTTTCAGGGTAATATTTTTTCAATGGGCATTATAACAATAAATATTAAACTTTCATTCCGTTATTGGTTTTAAGTTACCATATTGGGAAACAAAAATATTCTTTAGAGATCATTGGTCGAAGGTACCGGAGTCGAAACGCTTTATGGATCCAGAAATTGGTGTTCCATTGGTTAGAAAAGGCAGCTTCGCTTATCATGCTCATCCTGAAGCGATATATCCATTGATTGACAAGTTGTTTAATAATCGGGAGATTTGCGAACTAACGGAAGTACATTTAGCTCGAAAAGCTTTCACAATGTTTGCTGTTAACAATAATTGTACTTTCACGGAAATTATGAGAGTCGGGTATAACAATAATTTAAGGCTAATATAGAAACATTGTCTATAATTTTTTTTTGCAATAAAGATTGTTTTATTAGGTTAGCAAGATTAGTAGAAGCAGGACTTCGAGACCGTCAATTAAAAAAATGGCAGTATAAAAAACCAATATGCCGCAAAGATATTCTAAATGCAACTAGCATAAATATCTATGAATTTACACCACATTTGATTCTACTCTTAATTGGAGTAGTAATGGCAATCGTAGTGTACATGGCTGAAATTATTAATTTTCATTGGGTAAGCGAACTACAGACAGATTATAATATGACAGAAACAACCAATTAGCTCCTTATACGGACAACCAAAAATTACTTTACTTACTTAAATGTGAATAAATGAAACAAGATATAAACACTTGGAAAGATACTTTCATGGCTAGTAGCGTGAATAGTACAATTTAGTGACGTAATTGTTGCATAAAGTTATAATAAAGACGTCCAGAAAAAAGTTGTAAAGTTTTATTCGTGCTGTCAAATATTTTCAGAAAAATATTCATTAATAACATTGGTAATTTATTCAGAAATAGACTAAATATGTATTACTAATTGAATGAGGTGCCTACATATTTTTAAAGAAATACCATCTTAGAAAAACAATCACGATATGAAAAAAAAATTAAAAAAAAACACATGAACATATCTTTAGATAAGACTGATAACAATGTTAATTGATTATTTTACTAATAATGTTCCTCAGAAGCTTTCCTCTGATATCACATTCTATTTGAAGTAACATCTTAATCAAAATCAATTTGAGGAAGATTATAAGGCATCAAAATGATTGAATGTCTTTAAGAAAATTGCGAGTTTAAAATTTGTTAAAGTCCAATGACGAATTATTAATGACAAGGACAGCTTATCTCTATGTTTTACGTGAATGTGTATCGTAAAAGCATTATAAATAGCCCTTTTCCTTAAATTTAATGAATAACGGCATGCGGACAACTGTGAATGGTTTTGTTATATATACATATAAACTATTATGTATAACATAGCATGAATCAGCGTCAATCAATTTTTACGCTGTATTACTGTCACAATAATTTATGTGTAAAATAAAACCGTGCACAATTGTCCGCAAGCCTTAAATATTTACGGTATGACTAACGTAAATTGCGAATTTTTGAGTATCAATGTAAAAAAGTAATTCGCGCTTGCACTTTCCTCCCTAAAATGTGTTTCCAAGTAATTTTTCTTACATTTATTAATAAAACACGTCCATGCTTTGATGGAAAACAATACCATAGTAAATTATTTTATACAAAAACGAATTTCAAGTGCTGTCAGTTATTCCTGCAATCTTTAAAAGATAATAATAAGCTAATTACAGTTATTAGCTGTTGACCCACAACATAAATGGTTCAAATTACAATATATCGGGAAAAGAACTAATGCGTGAAAATTATTTTATGTGATGATTTACTATTGTTGAAGAAATTCAGTTCTCAGAAATTAACATTATTTTGAATACACCTTGTTATACTGCAGAAAAGAATTCTTCAATTTTTCTAGACGTGAGATATCTTAATGAATATTTTTAGTTGTTCAATTGTAAAAATATGCTTATATCTGTGTAGTAGACTGCTAATTATAGAATGTTTGATGAATGATACGACTGATTTATGATGTGTAACAATCTCACTAGTATTATAGATATTATCGATGACAAAACTTGTGAATTTTCGACTAATTTCATAATTGTCTTATATAAAGTTTAGATAAGTTATTCTAAGACATCTTTTGTATATATATATAAGTTTTAACATATTCAAAGACACTGAAGATTTCCAAATAGATATAACAGGAACTCCTTTACTTATAGGCATAATTGGGTCATATTTGATGAAATTTCTTTATTAAGAATGGACATTTAGGTAATAAACTGTCAAGGACCATAATCAATAAAATTAAATGAAATGCATACTTTTTAGGACATCTTTCATTTTTCGATATCCGCAACCAATCAATATTAGATTCGATCAACTATTTCAGCCATTCGATAAGAGCGTCTGGAATTTAATACGCATTTTTAAAACTGGAGGGGTATTAACTATCTATTTTTATTACAATGAAAGATTTTCACGTTAAAAAGATTTCTAATTCTCTCATTACAATAACAAGAATATGTTTATATATTTAAACAAGTTCACTGCCAATTATTCAACATGGTCATAATTTTATTTTATATCTAGGTCCTATCCCATTTTTATCCACTGATTTTATAGTATTCGGAAATGCTGTACGTTTTTCAAAATTAGATGTTTTATCAATCTTATTAATTCTAGAAACTATATAAACATTTTAGAACCTTAGTGATAAAATAATTAATATTTTTGTTATTATTTTTTACATTAGGAGTGAACGTGTTAAAATAATAGATTATGCACCACGGGAGCACAGTGGGCAATGGAGGCACTGTGTGATGATGCCGACTAAGCGAAATGAGGTCGGAATTTCACGCAATGCGTAAATTGCTCACTGCGATCCCGTGGGTTATATACTATTTTTCATCAAACCTTCATGAAATTACGGCTGTACACTCTGAGCAGACAACACATTTTTTTTCTGTCTAAAAATGAAGTGCCTCGTGTATGCGCGATTCGCTATTTTCCCCGCTCGAGGCGCAGACGAGATAGTTTTTTAGTATTTTTTAAAAACAATTATGTATTTGTAAAATATTTTTTTATATTTTATATTAAATGATTTTTGAATAAAGTAACAGTCTCGTGATTTCATAAAATATATAAATAAATAGCTTTTTTTGCAGATAATTTGCAACTGGTAAAACAGTTCAGTAAAATAGGTCTGACAGCGATAATGTAAAAGTTAAGTAAAATATCAGGCATTTATACATTTGTTAACACTGATTACTGAAAAATAGGAATCTCGCTAAACACACGTTGCTTGAGTGCAGAAAATATTACTTCAGAAGTTGATGAAAAAAAATTTTCATTAAAAATTAAAGTTATAACGCATTATCGATTCACGTAATAATTACTAGATCTATGATGAACTTCACGAGTAGTTAGTTGTGAGTTTTTGGATTATCAAAAAATTTCATGATTGCTATTTTGAATGATAGCAAAACTTATACGCTTCATGATGTATATAACAGATATAAATATCATGGTGGTTTACTAAACATAACATTTTACGAGAATTGGAACGTAAAATACGAATTGAATGTCACTCTCTTGCAGCTTAAGTCTGTTTAGAGTGGGGTCAGTGTGATTATATAATTAATTATGATATTGAAAATAATGTTTTTCAGTATATGTTCAAGAAAATAATAATTATTATTTATTTATTTACTTATTACCATGTTAAAAAAATTTCAGAAGTAGGCCTGAAATATCGGCAATTTAATTGGTTGCAACATAAAAAGTCTATTTAAAGGAAAAACGTTTTAAGTGCAGCTAGTATTAATATTCATGAAATTGCCTCTTACTTATTTCTTTTAATAATAGGTGTCACGTGTCGTTTATGTTACTGAATTTGCTAGTTTTTATTAGAAAATTGAGCCTACATTGACTACGAAGATACGAAAACGTTAGGACTTGGAAGAAACTTTGTATGTTTGGAACTTAAAACAGTTTTTAAATTAATGGAATCATGTTATTTCCGAAAGATATTTAGTTATAATATATAGTTGATAATAATTCATAAATGCATTTTAAATGTATTGAAAATGAACTATTCAAAATTACTTTTATAAATATTCGATCTCGTGAAACATGCAAGAATATGTTTCGTACGCACTAAAATGTTCACAAGCGGGGACACTTTGTATGTGATGAAAAGTATATAACTATAGCTTTCTCAATATATATTTAATAACAATATTATTTACAACTATTTAATTTTGATAAATTATAAAAAAATATACATTACAAACAAAATATTTATAACATTTGGGAACTTTATAAAAACTTTATAAAATTTACTTAAAAGTAATTCTGTATTTATCGCATGATAAATATCAATTGTTATTGTAAAAAGTAATAGGGCAGTTCAACTATTTTCGTATCAATTTCAAAAGTAAAATTTTTACTTCTAATTCAATTAAAATTTGAATAAATTCAATTATTTGAATAAATTGCAATTAATCTTGCATTAATTCAACTGCTTCTTTTAAAAATAACCAATGTCGTACGAATTCACTCACGTATTCAGTCTGGTAATAAATATTTCAAAGATCTGCTTCGACTTGTTGTCATGTTAACTTATGAATAATAGGTCTTTCTATTAACGTCATGCTATTTGACCAAACAGGTATTTTGTTCTGTTAGTTGTTGTTAGTGGTTGAAATAATATTTGTAAACGATAAACAAATGACGTCTGAATAATCAAAAAAATTTGGAAATTGAATATTTGTTTAGTATCTTTATAAAAATGTATTTTAGGTTAATCGTTTTCTATATTTTATTAACATACCTTCATGCTAATATAACTAATGACTTCATCATAGATTACTTTATTTATAAGAGAGTTTCCAGTGTTGTGGGGTATTCTTGTAATGTTCTGAAAGGTAAATATTTAGTTTTATTTGGAATTACCTTAGTATATTAAATTAAGTACAGTTTGTTCATTAACAGTGACTTATATCTTAGAGTTGTTGGTTTTGCGATATTTTCTAATTATATTTTTTTATAGATGATATCTCACTTATAAAAAGATTTAATGATAAAGGTCTGAGAGTGACGTTTGGTAAGATAAATAATAATTCAAATATTAACCTATTTGCAAGTAATTTGTATTACAAACTTGGAGTTCTTTTGGATACTCGCTGTTATGCATTGAGGAATATTGCTTTGATTTTTAATAATGTAAGAAATTTTACGGTCGGGAGCCATGCTACGTTACGAAATGATCGTTTATTTGATTGGACAGGCAACGAGTGGTAGGATGTTTGACGAATTGTACTATTGGCTTATATTGGGGTCTAATGTCAGCAATATTTTAAACATCGTTAATGATGGTGCTTTTGGAATTTCTACAGATTTTGTGGTTGCTATTTCTAGCAGAAACGATAGTTACAAGCTTTACGATATATTTAATGTTTTTAAATACCGCGGTGGTGTAATCAATGTTACTTATTATGGAGACTGGAGTACTAAAGATAGGCTCATTGTTAAAATAAAGGGGATCAAAGCAGTTGTAAGAGGAGATCTCAGAGGATTGTCATTGAAAGCGATGTTTTTCCAAGTTAGTTGATTTTCAATTACAAATGAAAAATTAATAAAAATGTATCGTTAGAAATGTAACTTTCAGAGTTCTTATAAACCACCAAATATGACATTGCCAGATTATTATAGAAATACTCAGAATGGTACGAAAGATGGACGTACTAAATTTGGTTTTTGGATATTAAGTCACTTGTCAGAAATTTATAATTTTACGTAAGTTTTAATATATTTCTTCATTTACAATTAAATGTTTATTTAACATGGGAGTCACGGTGGCTAAGAGGGTAAACGGTTAGGCTTCCGTGCAAGAGATTGTGGGTTCGAGTCCCGGTCATATGAAATTTTCATATGTTTATTACTGTAATTCCGGTGATTCGAATTCCACCTTAAATTGTAGGAACAGTCATGATGCGTGTAAAACTTTCTCTTTACGCACCATTTCAAAAAATGATGGGGGAGGTGAGTCTACACACTCATGACTATAGGGAACCAAAACTATTGCGTCTAGATACTTATGTACGATACACTAACAATAATCTTAATAATTATTATATAGCATTGTACCAGTGGAGACTCAAAATTGGAATGCCAACGATTCAATAGGCCCACTAATTAGATCTATGATGACTTTTGAAATCGATTTAACTGGCACACCTATAAATATTAACAGCAAAAGAGCTCATTTAGTGAAATTTCTCCACCAAGACTGGCCATTTAGGTAATTTTCATTACATTTATATTATCAAACATAAAATAAAATATTTTCCACGGATTTCAGGACATGTTTTATTTTTCGGAATCCTCAACCAGAAAATATAAAAATTGGAGAGATATTTCGACCGTTTGCTGACAGTGTTTGGTGTTTGATGTGCCTAACTATTACATTAAGCTTGATTATTTTGAGCTTAACTTTGCGTTACGATCTCAATGAAATTCACTTCATAAATATATCTAATTCTTTCACAATGATCATAGGTGCAGTATGTCAGCAAGGTAAATCTTGATATAAAAAATGTAATTTAGCGATTTTAACGTTAATTTAAATTACTATGGTTTATAGCTACTTGTGTGAATATAAAACGTGCTTCAACTCGCATCGCTTTCATATTTATAATGCTATTTAGCCTAGTTATATACGACTACTACTCAGCATTAGTCGTCTCTGCTCGTTTGGATGAGCCTGTTTATAAAATCAATGATTCGTTAGTTGAAATGGCTAAAATAAATCTTCCTATGGCATCTGAAAGGATGATTTATTTGGAAAATTTTTGGAAAGCAAGTGAATTTTAGACAATAAAATATTGTTAATTTCAACGGTGTTTTAAAATATTGCATTTGCAGCAACCATATTGGGAAACGCAAATATTTTACCAAAATTATTGGTTGAAGTGGCCAGTGAACAAAAGATTTATGGAACCGGAAATAGCTATGGATTTAGTTCGAAAAGGCGGATTTACGTATCACGTTCATCCTGACGTAGCATATACTATTATTGAAAGAACATTTGATAACCGCGAGATTTGCGAATTAAATGAAGTTCATCTAGGTAAATTAGTCAATTCGATGTTTGGTGTAAATAACAATTGCACTTTTGCCGAGCTGGTACGAGTCGGGTACGTTATTCAGAATGTGTTAAAATAAATTTCTACTGAAAATTAAGCCAAGAAATCGGGAACTTTGCACATGTATTTTCTGTGAAATAACAACATTTTAAGTCCTTGTTGAATTATTTTCAGTTTACAAAACATTAATCTGTTTTTAAACTAAAATTCAAAATGGTTTATGCATATACTTATTTAAGTAAACAGTTGAGGGCATATTTTGCCGATGGAGCAAGTTTTCGAAAAGTTACTTAAAAATTTTTATTAAAATATATATTGAACTAAAATAAATCGTGAAATGTGAAAATAACTTCATAAAGCAATAGAAAAACAGAATTTTATAGTTTCCTACAGATCGAGATAGATTTTCGTAAAGTAAATTAAGTAACTTTTACAAGGCTTGCTTCATCGAAGTAATTGAGTCCTCGTGCATCAGTTTTGATAATTTCACTGTACGCATTGAATTCTTACCATTAAAAAAAATCAAACTTACATGTTTATACGAGTTTTCAAACGGTTTGTTAAATAAAAAATAATTAATTTTAAAAATGTTTTTTTACTTTCTAAACAGATTAACCAAAATATCGGAGGTAGGTCTTCGGAATCGACAAATATTGAAATGGCAATATAGAAAACCACATTGTAGGCAAGATATTCTCAATGCTTCCAGCGTGGATATATATGAGTTTGCACCGCATCTAATACTATTGGCTATTGGACTTATATTAGCATTTTTCGTATATATTTTTGAAACCATCGATAGCAAATGGAAAATTGAATCTCGATCTGATATGAGCAACAAAAAAACAAGACTAATTTTACGTAATAAATATCAGAAAAAAGTTTATAAATTATTCTTCTGACACAATCAATATTATAATAGTATTGTTATTGTTATACATACAATAAAATTACACGAAAATGCTAATGCGCATTTCTTTCGTATTCTTGAAGAATTATCATATTTGATTAAGATAAAACTATTGCAACTTAGCACACATTGTATTTTCTTAGCGTGGAGAATAGAGCTTCACTTTGGTTCGAAAAGAACAATAGGTATCACGCGATATTTCATTCGATTATCTATATTTCCTCTTCTTGTAATACTACGTGTCTTTAGTAAGACAATTGGATTATTTGTGTTTTCATACATGACAATCAATGTTTTCTATCATTTCATTTTTATTGCGGAGAGAATCCAGTGTCGTATTGATAATTATTTATTTCTTAGCAATATATGTTGGTGGTAACGAAACAAATAGTTTAATTGTCAGCTATTTTATTTACAAAAAAGCGCCGAGCGTTGTAGGCTACTCTTGCAATAACTTGTTGGGTACTAAATATCACATGTTTATAATATTACTGGTGTTATTATTTATACGTATGATGGACATTATGTTGTAGACGATACAATTTTAGCAAAAGATTTCAATAAGAATGGAATAAAAATAAATTTACGCAAACTAAACGATACTTCTAATATACACATTCTTGGGCATACTACTTACTTCAAACTGGGAATATTTTTAGATGTCCGATGTCATACTAAAAGCAATATTGCAGCATTCTTTTCAGAAGTAATGGGAGTAAATTTACGAACAACAATTAATAATTAATTTATAATTAGTTAATTTATAGTTATAATTATGAAAAGAAAAAAATTATACGTTATTTCTTGTAGGCATCTAATTATAGGATGTACGATGAACTGCGTTGCTGGTTAATATTGGGTAACAATTTTCATGATATTATAAGTAATATTGGCGACGAGGCTTTTGGAGTTTCAACGGATTTTGTCGTTGGGGTCTTATCTGATGATGAAAATCATAGTAAACTTTACGACGTGTATAATTTCGGAAAGAAAATTGGAGGACCACTGAATGTTACATATCTTGGCTACTGGAATAAAAACAATGAATTTCATGTTACTTTGGTTGAAACGAAATTGAGAAGACGATCAAATTTACACGGAATCAATCTTCGAGCAGCATTTTTGAGGGTGCATGTTAAAAATAATTTAAACGAAATTACACTATCCTACGGAAGTGTTTGAATATTTTTGTTTTTGCGCGTAGACAGTCTATAAACCCGCAGGGATGGCATTATGGGATTACTTTCAAGAATACTCGAGCGAGCATAAAGAAGGATTGTCGAAATTTAGTTTTAGCATTGTAACTCATCTTTCTGAATTTTTAAATTTCACGTGAGTTAAGAGAAAAAACATACTAGTTTTTTGTTACTATTTAATAATTGTCATTATATTATCGTAGTGTAACAAGTTTTCAAGCTGGGAAGTGGGAAGTTGGCGATAAAATTGGTCCAATAGTGCGTGCACTGAATGATAGCGTAGCTGATTTATCTGGAACTCCCATGACTATGAATCTTGCAAGGACATATTTGGTGAAATTTGTTCATCAAGATTGGCCTTTTCGGCAAGTTTGCATTATGATTTTATAAGCATTATAGCTTAGTATTATTTAGCAAATATATATCATATCATTTTATTTGTAGCACATGCTTTATTTTTCGCAATCCTCAGCCGAAAAACATTAAAGTCCAAGAACTTCTACGGCCACTTTCCGAAGAAGTTTGGTACTTAATGATTCTACTCTTAAGCTTGAGTATGCTTGTTTTATTAGCTATGGTAAGACACGATTGGGATGCTCAAGAAATTATGAATATCACTCATACATTTCTATTGATTATTGGAGCTCTTTGTCAACAAGGTACATGATCAGAATAAAGCATTGTCATTTGAGAATAATACACGTGATTAATCATTACAGGTACAGATATGAAAATGAAAAGTATGTCTACTCGGATAGCATATCTTTCCATACTAATTTTCGGCCTTCTTATTTACAATTATTATTCAGCGGGCGTAGTTTCAGCTCGATTGAGTGAACCAATTGTAAAAATAAACGATTCGTTAAGTGAACTGGCAAATTTACCATTGAAAGTATCCTCAGAGTTTATGGTTTATTTCGATTTTTTCATCAAGGTAATGATAATTACAAAAATTATTCGATGAATTATGAATTGTCCATTCAGTAAGGACGAAATGCCTACTAATGATTGAAATTTCTTTTAAAATCTCGTGAAACACAGCGAACTGATGAGTGATAGTTATTCATATTATTCTCTGAATTTTTGGATAAGTTCATAAGATTGAGCAATTTTTGTGATAATAATCAGAGTTTTAATTAAACAATGAATTAAATTTGTCAATTAATAAAATATATTTCATATCCCAGAGGCCTGATTGGGAAACAACAACTTTTTACACTAAGCGATGGGAGTTTTTGCCAGAAAGCGACCGTTTCATGCTTCCAGAAAAGGCAATGCAATTGGTTCAAACAGGCCAGTATGCTTACCATGCTCATCCTGAAGTCGCATATCCATATGTTGATCGTTTTTACGATCATCGTGAAATCTGTGAGCTTACAGAAGTGCATCTGGTTAGACCAACGTGGTCGACTTTTGCTTTAACTTTTAACAGTACAATCGTTGAAATTGTAAGAATCGGGTAAATATTTCATTCACACCAATATTTTATGCATATTTAATAAAGCAAGGAATTTATATAATAATAGATATAATAATAGAAGTACGTTTTATATCCATATAAATGTTTGCAGATTGGCAAAAATTACGGAAGTAGGTTTGCGAGCTCGTCAAATAACCAGATGGCATTATAAAAAGCCTCATTGTCGGAAAGACGTCTTGAGCGCTTCTAGTATTACTATATATGAGTTCCTGCCACACGTATTTCTTTTATTGATTGGTGTTTTCATGGCTTTCATGATATTCATTGCAGAAATAATCATTACTAGTCGCTCTATTGATACTATATTAAAATTAATAAATTATAATATAATTTATCATGTGTAAATAAGTAAATATTGATAATTTTTTCAAAAACCACAAAGATCATTTCCATTAGTATAAAGTGTCATTGATGGATTTTTATGCCTTATCCGTCTTGTATGTAATTAACAATTGTAATAGCAGTAAAGGTCACACATCTCTTAATTAATTTAGTGAAGCTCATTTGACTTTAGATTGTATTAGTATGTATATGACGGAATGAATAAATTTATTTATCCTATTTGTATTTTTATGCGACACAACATTATCATACTAGTAAAATGCTCTGCGAATAGGTTTACATAATTAAGTGCCTTCGTGTCAGCTGATTTGATCAATTGTTTTTTAATTCGTACTTGTCTTTACGAAGTATCAATTATAAAGCAGACTAGCTTGTAATACTTATATATAACTAGAAATAATTTATCAAAAAAAAGATACATTTGGTGCTAAATTATGACAAACACGATATAACCATATTTTTTATCTTTAAATATTAGTCAAAACGATCACTATCCATTTCATAATTGAAAAATATTTTCAAATTTTACGTCGTTATAAGTTATTTATATTTGTTGTTGTACATCATTCACTATATCACGTATTTGTTAGCAAAATGATCAGAACTGCCCATTAAACGTAAATCAAAATAAATAAACGAAATGTATAATTGCCTTATTATACCCTGAATAAAACTTCTAAATAATAAAATGAAGCATATATACGTTATCAACTAATCCTGAAATACTATTATTACATTCAAAGAAACAATTTATGAATTTGTATGTAAAAACAATTTCACAATAGTGAAATTAAATATTCCGGAATCAACTAGAGCGATTTATTGTTATTTTGATAAACTACTCGATCCTTTATTAATGGTAAATAGCTTCACCAATCAAGTATATACTCGTTACCGATTGTTGTTTAGTTTAATTATGTTTGTAACTAATAATTACTGTTCGTATGACTGCAGACGAACCTATAGTCTTATGTATTTCTGTAAAAACATGTATTTTCGCATTATACTTTTAAATCTCTTAATAAAACAAATTTCTGCAAATATAGATAATGATGTCATTATTGATTATTTTAATTACAAAAAAGTTTCAAGTGTTCTCGGATACTCTTGTAATAATCTGGAAGGTAGTTGAAAGATTTCATTTCTCATTTTACATTTTTTTTATAGAAAAATATTTATTAACAAAAAATTTAAATATTAAACATTGGCTTAAACATTCTCATTTCGTAGATGACTTTTTATTAATGAAAATGTTTAGTAAAAATGGGTTACCCGCTACATTGTATAATAGTAACAATGAACTCGAAATCGCTAAAGTGGCGCATACTGCATTTCGAAAAATTGGTATTTTTTTGGACTCACGTTGCAATGAACTAGAAAACATCGCAACCGTTTTAATCGATGTAAGAACTTGTGTATAAAGTATGCTTTGTTATTTTTGATGGATAAAAATTATATAACTTTTATGATTAGGCAACCAATAGTCGGATGTTTGATGAGTTACATTTCTGGCTTATACTGGGTCATAATTTTGAGGATGTTGTAAATATTATTAATGATGAAGCCTTTGGAATATCTACAGATTTTGTAATTGCAGTAACTGAAGGATATTCTAATTATAAACTTTATGATGTTTATAATACATTTAAAAGTCGTGGAAGTACCATAAATATTACTCATTATGGTGATTGGGATGTAGAAAACGGGTTAGTTATGAAAGTTTACCGAATAAAATCTATCGAAAGATCTAATCTTAATGGACTGATATTGAAAGCGATGTTTTTCCAGGTGAGTACGAAGATTATACCCTTTACTCGTTGTTTTTCGTTTAAAATCTAACAATTGAATGACTAAGGTTTATGAGACACCATTGAAAGATATTTTAATTTGCAATAGACAAATGACACCATCATTTAACAACCTATATTTATTATTACTACAGAGTGCCTATAGACCTAAAGGAATGCTATTAGAAAATTATTATCTAGATAATCAAAATGGAACCAGAGATGGCCGTTCTAAATTTGGTTACAATATCTTAAGACATCTGTCTGAAATGTATAATTTTTCGTAAGCTTAATGTGTCATTTGTGGTTTATAAATAATACTTCTTCTTGCCTTTAGCAATAAGTAGTATGATTTTTAAAAATAATAAGTTTCAAGTGGAATAAAACAATACATTTTGTAAAAATTACTTTAGAATTGCTTGTTCAGAGACGAAAAACTGGATTCCAGGCGACGCATTAGGACCCCTGACAAGAGCTATGATGAATTTCGAAGTCGATTTAACTGGAACTCCTCTAAACATTAATACCAAAAGAACCGAACTGATGAAATTTCTCCACCAAGATTGGCCATTTAGGTATTTGAAAAATATATAAAATTTATGTATATGAGTTAAGTAATTTTATATTAAACTGTATTACAGAACATGTTTTTTTTTTCGAAATCCCCAACCACAGAACATCAAAGTTGGAGAAATATTAAGACCATTTCGAAATAGTGTTTGGTATTTGATGTGTTTTGTAATAGTATTAAGCATGGCGATACTCACTGTTGCTCTACAATACGATAATCAAGAAGGTGATATTACGAATTTAGCCAATTCGTTCATGATGATCATCGGCGCACTGTGTCAACAAAGTATGAAATTACAAAACTATAAATTGTTCATGATACAGTGTATTATCATAAAATTTTTTATCATATTCTCAAACAACTATAGGTGCTAGTGTAAAAATGGAACGTGTTTCAACCAGAACAGCTTTCTTCTTCATTTTGTTGTTTGGCTTACTGATGTACAACTATTATTCAGCATGTGTTGTTTCAGCTCGTCTTGATGAACCCATTTACAAGATCAACGATTCCTTAGTTGAAATGGCAAAAATGCGCATGAAGATGGCATCAGAAAGAATGGTTTACTTGGAATATTTTTTTAAAGTAATTGACATTTTTAATCGTATAAAGAGTATAGTAACTCTTCGTACGTAATTTTTGTAGGCATCATTTTGGGAAACACAAGTTTTTTACAAAAACTATTGGTTGAAATTACCAGAGTCAAAACGATTTCTGGAACCAGAAGTTGGTTTGTCATTAGTTCAGGAAGGAAATTTTGCTTATCACGTACACCCTGATGTGGCTTACACACTTATCGAGAAAACTTACAGTAATCGTGAGATTTGCGAGCTAATGGAGGTGCATCTCAGTAGGCCTCAGATAACCATGTTTGGCGTAAATAATAACTGTACATATGCGGAGTTGGTGAGAGTAGGGTACCATATTCATTTAATTGTCAGAATTTTATTTTGGTATAGAAAATGTAATTCAGTTATATATTAATTGTCTTTATTTTCTCTCATAAAAAAAGGTTAACTAAAATATCAGAAGTAGGACTTCGTCATCGTCAGATTTTAAAATGGCAGTATAGAAAACCACGCTGTCATCACAATATTTTAAGTGCTTCTAGCGTCGATATTTATGAATTTGCACCACACTTAATACTATTACTAATTGGCATCTTCTTAGCATCTTGTATATATGTCCTTGAAATTAATGGTAGCTGGAAAAAAACTAACGTTTGGCCACGCACACGCTTTCAAATATGACAATATAGTTACCATAATATAATGTATAAATTTGAAAATTTCCAAGTGATACATAAATTATAGATCTATAATGTAAGTATAATAATAAAATTGTATTCATATTGCCGTTTGAGGAATCGTCACATTGACGTGACATATTTTTTCCTGTCTGGTTGTTAATACTTATATATTTAGTTTCTAATTGAATCGATCAGACCGTCAAACGCTTTCATTCTAATTGATGAATTATTTAGTTCCATTAGCGTTTGGTGAAAAGAGGATTTATTCATGCATTGCCTTTTTGATGGCTCAATTACTATATTTTCATCCAATGTCTAACCTTCAGCTTCTATGTATCTTCTAGATTTTTGTATTTCAATTTATTTTTATACAACATGTTTATGCGATACATTATAATAATTTATCTCTTATTAATTTATCTCTTATCTCATCTGTATGCAAAAAGAGATAAAGACATTATTGTTGATTACTTCGTTCGTAGGCAAGTTTCAAGTATTGTTGGATTTTCGTGTAATTCTTTGAAAGGTAAATATTGAATTATTATTTTATAGAGTATCATTCAAAGTAACTAATATTGTCAATTAATTTGAATATAAATTTATTATTAGGCAAATTTTCAAATTTAAAAAATAGATTATATCAATTGATAAATATTTATTTTTTCTGCAGATGACCTTTTACTATTGAAACGTTTCAGTGAAAGAGGTTCTTCTACGGTCTTACACAAACTTAATGATAGAGTGGATACTAGTACTCTTACTAATAACATTTATACGAAAATCGGCATTTTTTTGGACACTCGTTGTTATACAATCAAAAATGTCGTTGCAATCTTAAATAATGTAAATTTTATGTTTAAGAGCACATATTTACATATTTTTATATTATCAAGCGATATTTTTTAAATTTAATAATTAGGCTTCAGATACTAGAATCTTTGACGAATTACATTATTGGTTTCTACTGGGTCACAAACTTGGAAAAGTATTAAGCATGGTTAATGATGCGGCTTTTGGCATATCTACAGACTTTGTCATTGCAGTCTCTGATGGGCCAAATAATTACAAGCTACATGACGTATATAATCCATTTAAAAATCGTGGTGGTATTTTAAATGTCACGGATTATGGAAATTGGGACAATAAAAACGGTCTTACTATCAAAAGTTTGCAATTGAAATCGAGCTCACGAGCTAATTTGAATGGATTGACTCTGAAAGCTATGTTTTTTGAGGTTAATATAAGTCTTCCGTTTTCCGTGTCGAATTTGTATGTGACTTAAAATTCAACGAGTTGACCTCTCCTATTCAGATACACATTCTATTTGATTTTATTTACAATTACAGAGTGCTTATCGGCCACCGGATATGTCATTAGAAAAATATTACTTGGACAGCAGCGAGGGAACAAGAGACGGTCGCTCGAAATTCGGATATATCATTTTAAGTCATTTAGGAGATATTTATAATTTTTCGTAAACTATTATTCTTTATTTTTTGTAGACAGTTCTTATCTCAATAGTCTCAATTTTTCAAATATCTGTCAAAATATAATTTCAGAATTGAATGCTCAGAAACCAAAAAATGGATACCTGGCGATGTTTTGGGACCATTAACACGGGCTATGATGAATTTTGAAATCGACTTGACCGGTACACCTTTGAGCGTTAACAGTAAAAGAGCATTACAGATAAGATTTCTTCACGAAGATTGGCCATTTAGGTTTTCATTCAACTGAATAATTATTTAACATAAAAAGTAACAGACTATATAAATTTTAGAACATGTTTTATGTTTCGAAATCCTCAACCTCGAACTATCAAAGTTAGAGAAGTATTACGGCCTTTCCAAAAAAGAGTTTGGTATTTGATATGTTTCATACTTTTGTTAAGTATGACATCCCTCAGTTTTGCTTTGTATCATGATCATGGAAATGCTGATATTATAAATGTAATGGATTCATTTACAATGGTCATTGGTGCCTTGTGTCAACAATGTGAGAAAAATTATATAAAATTCGTATAAAAGTATTGATATGGGCTTCTTTATAAATACAGTATATTTTCAGATACATGTGTCAAGATGAAATATCTTTCTACTCGAATAATTTATTTTTTCACATTATTATTTTGTTTACTCATTTATAATTATTATTCAGCATGCGTCGTATCAGCACGCCTTGATGAACCTGTTTACAAAATTAATGACTCATTACTTCAAATGGTAAAGATACCGATGAAGATGGCATCAGAGAGGATGGTTTACTTAGAATATTTTCTCAAAGTAGGTAGATCCTCTGACGTGAATATTGTAAAAAGTAACTTTTCGACGAAAAAATTTAACAGCTAGATATAAATGCCTCACCAATAAAACTGTTGTTCTAGTCGCCAATATGGGAAATTCGAGAGTTTTACCACAATTATTGGTTAAAGTTGCCAAAATCAGAAAGATTCATGGAGCCCGAAAACGGCATGGCATTAGTTCAGAAAGGTGGTTTCGCTTATCATATTCATCCTGATGTGGCTTACACGCTTATTGAGAAGTCTTATATTAATCGCGAGATATGTGAATTGATGGAAGTGCATCTCAGTAGGCCACAGAATACAATGTTTGGCGTGAATAATAATTGTACCTATGCAGAGTTAGTACGAGTTGGGTAAATCATTTTTTGTCCACTTATAATTATTCGTGATTGTCTATATCAATAAAAGTTAATTATTTTGTTATTACGAACAGACTAACCAAAATATCAGAAGTAGGACTCCGCCGTCGACAGCTTATAAAATGGCAATATAGAAAACCACGATGCCGACGTGATATCTTGAGTGCCTCTAGCGTAGACATCTATGAATTTGCACCACATTTGATACTATTATTATTTGGACTTTTATTAGCTATGTTTATGTGTATTTTTGAAACTCATGGAAATCGGGGAAAAATTAAATTATGGCAGAAAATGTATTTAAAGAAAAGGAGAACAATCTTATGAAAGAAGCTCTTCGTTGGTAGAAAAATGTTATGCAATTGAATTGTTTGGACTAATAACATTGAAATATATAAATACAATTTTTGATTGAAGTGAAATCGATTTACTTATTTTTATGATAGATTCATTTTTTATACGATCATTATTTATTTTCTATTTTACGTATCTATATTTATTACTTTATAATGATAGTATAAGACTTTGAAATGTAATTATGAAATTATAAAACCGAATAAGTCATTACAAATGCATTAAAGCTACATTATGAATAAAAGCCACTAAAAAGTTAACTGTCCGGGCATAACTAATGCATTTGTTAATAATCATCTACAGTATTCATTACACGTTATAGAAACGCGATGCTACTTCGTTAAACTGTATCAACGGAATTCGTACAATATAATTCTAATAAATTACATAGTTCGTATCGACGTTTGAGACAAAGAACTATTTTCATGTCAACCTATTTTGCGTAAATATACATTTGCGCAGGAATGACGAATAATTGGAATATCAGTCATGCAATCAATCGTATTTCAAAAGCTACCTGGGAAAACTACCATTTTTTACGAATACGGGATGTATATAACTATGTATTCTGGATATTTTATATTGTATCGGATTGAAATTTCACATATTTTAGTGTAGCATGCCTCTACAATTCATTTTAGTATCTTATCTATTAACATATATTCATGCCAGAAGTTATAATGATATTATTGTTGATTACTTTGTCCATAAGAAAGTTACAAGCGTCATTGGTATCACTTGCTACGATATTCCAGGTAATGCCAAGTTGCATATTAAAATATTGAAAATATTTTAAAATTTTTAAAATATTGTCTCTATATGGACACCAGAATTACCGTTCTTTTTTTTCAATTTCACAGACAATATCATGTTGATGAGAGGTTTCAACAAAAATAACATGTCTGCGGCTGTCCATAATCTGAATATGAAAGCCAGTATAAACCTTCTTGCGAAAGCCTTTTACTATAAGCTTGGTATACTGATCGACGCTCGGTGTTACACCATGATTGAAATGAAATTGGTCCTCGATGAAGTATTATTCATTAATCTTTACTAAAATATATAAGCGTGCTTTGAAAAGTGCAAGGTAGATTTTAATATTTTGAAAAAAAATATAGGCCACTGATTATAGAATATTTGATGAGCTTCGATCTTGGCTAATATTGGGTGATAATTTAACGGAAATTTTAAGTACTGTCAATGACAAAGCTTTTGGAATATCAACCGACTTCGTAATTGGCGTATCCAGTAATATAAAAAGATACGAGTTCTACGACGTGTATAATATATTCAAAGAGCGAGGAGGTTCGCTGAACGTAACTTACTATGGGGACTGGCAAACAAATACCGGATTAAATGTCATTCTGACGCAATCCAAGTTTCGCAGAAGATCAAACCTTCATCGTTTGGTTATAAAAGCGATGTTTTATAAGGTAAAAGTACAAGTTTAAACCATACGATAATTGTGGCTTGACATTTAGCTTTTAAGCTTTATTTGCACTGAAGAGTAAATTCAAAGCTGCCGATATGCCATTGGAGGAGTATTACGAAGATTTTGAGCACAGAACTAGGGATGGGCAGTCTAAATTTTCATTTCACGTTCTGAGCCATCTATCAGACATCTATAATTTCAGGTTAGTTCAATAGTATAGTATAGTATAGTATATTAGTTCAATAGGTTACTTACCAATAGTATTAATTGGCCAAATATACACGAGCGGCTAGCGATTTAATAACTCAAACAAATGTTGCATAGCCTAAGCCCGCGAGAGTCTCCGACGTGGGAAAAAGGGGACCGACTGGGTCCCATTGCTCGAGCTCTCGCCAACCGAACCGTTGATGTTTCCGGTACGCCCATTGGCATATCTCACGCACGCATGAAATTCATGAAATTTGTTCATCAGGACTGGCCTTTCAGGTAAAAAGCCTTATTCATTCAAGCGAGTACTTTGAATTTCTCGAATTCGGTTTATTGCAGAACGTGTTTCGTTTTCCGAAATCCTCAACCAACCAATATCAAAGTAGGAGAAATATTGCGACCTCTGGCGGATGAAGTTTGGTACCTTATGGGCACATTTATGCCTTTTAGCGTGGCGATTTTGTTAATAGCGATGCGTCACGACTTTGCTGAATCTGATACGTGGCTGATTTCAAACTCATTTCTTATCGTGCTTGGTTCGCTATGTCAACAATGTAAGCCTTAACTATCACTTAGAGTTTGCATAAGCGCAACACTAATCGTTAAAATATATATGTAGGTACTGATTTCAAAATGGTACGGATTTCCACGCGAATAGCCTTCTTCTTCATCATGATATTCAGTCTTTTAATGTTCAATTATTATTCGGCAAGTGTTGTATCAGCTCGGTTGGACGAACCTATCTACAAAATTAACAACTCTCTAATACAGTTTGGCAAACTTAAAATGAAAATGGCTTCTGAGGATATGGTTTATTTTGAATTTTTTTTGAAAGTAACTGCAATACCTATTGTGTTTTTCAGGTCCTAATAATAGCGTCATTGTGCACTGAAAAATGTGATATTTTGTAGAAACCTGACTGGGAAGCGACAGTGTTTTATGAGAATTACTGGAAACCGACTGTACCAGATCGCGAGTGGTACCTCGAGCCTGAAATCGGAATACGATTAGTGAAAAAAGGTGGTTTCGCATATCACACACATCCAGAAATAGCATATCTTCTCATCGAAAAGTTATTTGACCATCGGGAAATTTGCGAGTTGGTTGAAGTTGATTTGGGCGGTCCATTCTTTACTTCCTTTGCTTTCAATTTCAACAGTACCGTGATTGATATCGGAAGAGTCGGGTAAACACTTGTAACAAATTTTCTTAAAGAACAACTTGTCTGAGAAAAATTAATATTTGATATCGTTGCTTAGGATGATAAGAATTGCCGAGACAGGACTTCGTTTTCGACAGGTGTATAGATGGCAGTATAGAAAGCCACAATGTCGTAGGAATATTCTCAGTGTTGAGAGCGTTACGATTTACGAATTTGCACCTCATCTAATTCTTTTAGCGATTGGCGCAATTTTTGCAATGGCTGTGTTTACTTTTGAGATTTATATCATTAAACGCTACGAATTTTTTGTTCGATCAAGAGCTATTATACATTTTATGTCACATAAGCAATCTGAGATTGCAGACTCTTTTTATGAACGTGATAATCCACGTAAGGTTTCTTTTGCCTTGTGATGTCCAATTTATTAATATAACATTTCTTAGAAACTAGGAAGGAACGGAAAGGTCAAGCGGAAGGCGAGGACCAACAGTGAGGTTCATAAGAAGACTTTACGTACGCGACAAGGATTGGATTAGTAGATTACGTATCCAGGCTGGAAAAATAAAAAGAATATAAAGTACGCACCACGCCCGGGAAATCGGCAAGTCCAAAGGACGTGTTTAACAAACTCGCTTTCGCCTCAGTTATTATTTCTAACGTGCTACGGACTTACCAATTCATTCCCAACCTGCGTACACGTAATCTACTAGTTGAGCTCGACCGATATTTTCGATTGCAATCGATATAATCAAATCACTCAATTGTATTAGATTATTCTATTGAATAAAACAATTATTACTTGATTATTTTAGTAGCATTACAATTGTAGTATAAATGTATAATTCATTTATTTTCGAATATGAATTACGGAATGAATGTTTTATAAATAAACTTTATAGAGGACTGTAAGCATCAAACTGAAAATCTTAATATCTATCACAATGTCGATTTGTGTATAAAAATTGTCTTAGAAAATTGTTAGTAGAGAAAATGGAATTTTTCGAAATGTCAACGCAACTATTGAAATAAATAGAAAATACGCTAAATACGCTATTAAAGGAACCTCAAGGAGCGACGTACCTCATAACGTTTTTATATACTACACTTACTGCATAATAGGAAGTGCACTAAACGTAGAGCTCTACACGGAACAATTTGTAAGTCACATATTTAGCATGTCCATCGATATTTGCGCGAGAATAATCAAATAAGAATACAAGTCACGCGATACTCATGATACTATTGTTCATAGACATAAATCATGACTGTTTCTGTTTTGTCAAACTAATCGTTTGTACACTTAACGAGATGCATAGAAAAATGTTTTCCAGTTATTCCAAACGGCAACATCGACGACTGTTATGTTTTCTACTTTGAAATGCATACCAAGTTGATGCTAATTATGATCATTTTCCCCATATGCGAGTGTAGTACACGTGAGCAGGACGTCATTATTGATTATTTTATTCATAAAAATGTCGCAAGTACGATTGGATTTACTTGTTATAAACTTTCAGGTAATACTTTGGCTTGTCATTGTCTTTTTAATTTTCTAACTAACTGTATTGTAACATATTTTACAGAAGATCTCGTACTGATAAGAAATCTGAATAAGATAAATATTGCCGCCACGACTTATAAACTGAACATCGAGTCGCCTATACATTTGTTTGCAAAGGCTACTTACTGGAGATTAGGAATATTAATCGACACTCGGTGTTACAGTGTAGCTGAAATTTCGTCGCTTTTTAACCAAGTACGATATATGTTACATGGGCACATCGTATTTTGGAAGAAACAAAGATTAATATGTATTACCTATTGCGTATTTGACGATACAGGCGACCGAGTATAGAATATTTGACGAGTTGCGATCCTGGCTTATATTAGGCGACAATTTGACGGAAGTTTTGAGTATTGTTAATGATGACGCTTTCGGAATGTCGACCGATTTCGTAATTGTCATATCCAGTGATTCGAGGAGTTATGAATTTTACGACGCATACAACATATTTAAGAAACGTGGGAGTGCGCTGAACGTCACTTATTACGGAGCTTGGCAGATCGATACTGGATTTAACGTCATTCTAACACAATCGAAATTCCGCAGGAGATCTAATTTTCACCGTATTACTCTCAAAGCAATGTTTTACAAGGTGAGTCTGTCATTGCACAATTTCCAGTAAGAATAACGAATTCACAGCTGCTTTTTCGCGCGCAAGAGTCTATTCAAAGCTGCCGACGTGCCACTGGAACAGTATTACGAAGATTACGAGTACGCGACGCGAGATAGTCAGTCTAAATTTTCATACCACGTTCTGAGCCACTTGTCCGACATTTACAACTTCAGGTTCGTCAACTGACAGCGCGACACTCGCGCGTCACACAAACATCGCAATGCTTTCTTTCGTTTGCATAACTTCATTGAATTCGGCCAGCTTACACTCTCGAGAATCCCCTCTGTGGAGCAAAGGGGACGTCGTGGGTCCGATCGAACGGGCTCTGACGAACCGTGAAATCGATATTACGGGCACTCCCATAAGCTTCAACATTCGTCGACTACAGGTACTAAAGTACGTCCATCAAGACTGGCCCTTCAGGTAATAAAACGCATAGTGCACGGCGGTGTAGGGCAAGTCTCGAAAGCATCAAATTTGATTCGCTGCAGGAGCTGTTTTTTCTTTCGAAACCCTGAATCAGCGGTCATCCAAGTGGGCGAAGTGCTCCGTCCACTCGCCAATGAAGTTTGGTATCTCACGAGCTTTTCTATGTTGGTGAGTGTCGCTATCGTATCGATGGCTTTGCGCCACGATTGCACGCAGCCTGGTATCACGACTCTTTCGAATTCGCTTCTTATTGTGCTGGGTGCGCTATCTCAACAAAGTAAGTCACATAGGGAGGGAAACCATTAAATTTCCTGGAAAGAAATCATTCAAATTGGCCGATCGCTCGTTTCTAGGCAGCGATTTAAAAATGACAAAGTCTCCGATACGCATAGCTTTTCTCTTCGTCATGATATTTAGCCTTTTGATATACAACTATTACTCGGCAAGCGTCGTGTCCGTCAGGCTGGATGATTCCACTGCTAGGATCAACGATTCTCTGGTGCAGCTTGGTAAGCTGAACCTGAGAATGGCTACCGAGGACATGGTCTATCTGGGCTTCTTTTTGAAGGTAATTATTTCTTACGAGCACGCCTGCATTTCCAGAGAATGAAAATCCGCGATACAATCCTCGCAGAAAGCAGACTGGGATACGACGACGTTCTATGAGAATTATTGGAAAAAAATACCCGAGTCAAAGCAATATTTGGTGCCAGAGGTCGGGATGAGTTTGGTGCGCAAAGGTGGCTTCGCTTATCACACGCACGTAGAAATTGCTTATCTTTATATCGACAGATTTTTCGAGCATCGAGAAATTTGCGAAATCATTGAAGTTCATTTAGGAGGGCCGCTTATCACGGCGTTCGGCGTTCATCTTAACAGCACGTTCGTGGACATGGCGAGAGTCGGGTACATCGCAGTCTCGCATCGTACGTTAAAAGCACGTAGGGCAACTCAGTTTCTTTATTGACATTGCAGTTTGATGAGAATCGCTGAGACGGGTCTTCGCATTCGGCAAATACATAGATGGCAGTACAGAAAACCATTATGCCGAAGGGAAATTTTGACCGCCACGAGCGTCACGATTTACGAATTCGCACCGCACATCATACTTTTGCTAATCGGCGCGGCGCTATCCGTCATTGCTCTCGCTGCTGAAATATTCATCAGCACAAGTGGATACATCTATATTCGATCAACGTCTCGCACCTTTGTTAAGAAGCTGCTTTCGTGTGGACAGATTCCAACACAGATTCGGAGTGAACAGTCTCTTTACCAATGATACGTTTTTTCTGTTTTATTGCGTTATGTAAAATCGATTTCCAAATCAATAAGCCTTACCACGCCGGTCAAAAATATATATAAAAAATATTTTACCAACATTTACTTTACATTTTATCGTAATAATCGGTTAATGAGTTTCAGAGTATTATAGCTAATTGCACTTCGAGCATTGGCTACTTATAATAAGAAACGAAAAATTTCATCGGGAAATTTGTATACCAACGCAAGAGATGCGAGCTCGTAAAAGTTGCTTTCTTTCAAATACAACGTAAGCAGTAACAATGAACATTTTAATTATCCATTTTGTTTTTATTAATCCGATGGAAAAAATTGAAGATTATATAAACATGTAGTTTTATGAAAATTGTCTACGCATAGTCTACGCCAACGAATGTTCGAATGCCCTGGTGAACGTAAAACCAGTTTGTCGCAGTGAAGCTTTTTTTATTATTAATGAATTCGCACCGCACTTATTTATGTAAACTCTGAAAATTGTAATTGCCAAGCAAGGTAGTGTAAGTTCATTACAAATTAATAAAATCCAATTCTCGCTTCCATCGCGACGGTTTTATAGACTTTTTCTTGACTCAAAAATATAATTTTTCAAATATTTATACTAAATTGAGAAAGTCAAAGATAAACTTTACTTTATATTCTTTCCTTATGGATCTTTTACACCTCGTCTTTGCGGATCTTTATGTTATAATAATATTTATTTTCTGAAATGTACCCCCACAATACCTTTTACTACTGAGTATGAATTATTGATTTTGTAAATAGCTTCTGAATAAATAGCTTTAGCAATTGCCATGCAGCATAATATTGCAATTTTCTTTGTACGATACACTAGTATGTCAATCGCTGGATAGCTCTTTATGCTATACGTTAACAAGGGCCTTCGCAGTTGTCCACTCGTAGACTTTCGGCGTAATGTTCTTTTTAAAGGTAGGATATTTTATTAATGATTGGCCAGTTGATAACTAACTCTCAGTTAGATTTTATGGGCTCTAGAAAAAATGAATGTTATGTTAGTCATAATTTATTTCTCGACCACAAACGTGCATGCTAACAAAGTCAACAATTTTATTATTGAATATTTTCAATACAAAAAATTATCGAGCGTTATCGGATATTCTTGCAACGATGAAAAAGGTAACGCATATCCGAGTACGATGTTATTGATATAATATTGATCATTATTGTTTTATAAAACATATATGAAAACTTGTGTTTGAGATGATGTATTACTGATGAAAGAATTCAGCGGCGTTGGTATAAATACTGTACTAAGAAAAGTGGACGATGAAACACATGTATATCCCGTAGCATACACGGACTCTAATAAAATTGGAATTTTCTTGGACACGCGATGTTTAGAGTTAGGCGAACTTGTTCCCATCTTTCTCGATGTATGTTTTCATTGATGCCTAAGCTAATTGACAAAATGGACTATTTCTAAAAGAAATGTAAATTGGCTTGAAGGCATCAAATTACAGGATCTACGACGAGCTCCACAGTTGGTTAATTTTGGGATACAACGTGACTGACATTGCATACGTAATTGACGATAGGGCCTTCGGAGTATCAACAGATTTTGTAATTGCTATGTCGCCAAACGATGACGACTACTATAAACTTTACGACGTATACAATTTTGCCAAAGACCGCGGTGGACCATTGAATATCACGTACCTTGGCGACTGGGTGAGCGATGGTAATTTGACGATAGAATTAATTCAGTCGAAATATTCAAGACGGTCAAATTTACATGGCGTCAGCTTGCAGGCCACATTTTACAAGGTAATGCAGTTGTTGGCCTGATTAATCACTTGTTTTTCTCATTTCTTTGAGGCAACAATTGCTTTCAGACAATTTACAGACCTCCAGAAATGTCTTTGGAAGAGTATTTCGACGATTACAGCCATGCTCAAAGAGAAGGTTTGTCCAAATTCGGATTCAATTTAATAAAACACCTTTCGGATTTATTCAATTTTAGGTAATGTCGTGCGACATGTTTCGTAGGAATTTTTCGCCTTGTTTGCCTCATATTTGCTTTTCAGTTTAAAATGTCACCAATCCGCAGAGTGGGAGGCTGGCGATAAAGTAGGTCCTATAGTACGAGCATTGGACAGCGATGAAGTCGATTTGTCAGGTACTCCAATATCTATGAATATAGCGAGGACATACTTGGTCAGATACGTTCATCAAGACTGGCCATTCCGGTAATATTTGAATGCATTTTCAAGGCTAACTATATTATATTTACGAGCAAGCTTGTTACTTGCAGAACTTGTTTTATTTTTCGGAACCCACAGCCGAAAAATATCAAAATCAAAGAAATGTTTCGACCACTCGCGGACAGCGTTTGGCTTCTGATGCTCATTCTAATGAGCTTATCAGTCGTAACGCTAGCCTTTATGGCGCGCTACGAATGGCTCGATTTCGAACTGATGAGATGGTCCAGTTGTTTCCTACTGGTCGTCGGGACGTTGTGTCAACAGGGTACAAAGCTGGCGATATTTCTTTACCTTAATACCAAAGCAAAGAACAAAAGAAAAACTCACTGGTTCTATTATTTCAGGCACTACGGCACGGATAAACAACATATCGACCCGTATCGCCTTCTTTTCCATATTAACATTTGCTTTTCTTATCTACACGTATTATTCAGCCGGCGTGGTGTCGGCACGACTAAACGAGCCAATCCAAAAAATCAACGACTCATTGAGCGAGCTTGCCAAGCTGCCGTTGAGATTTTCATCCGAGTACATGGTTTATTTTGATTTTTTCATGAAGGTCGGTGTAATAACCCGATAATCCAATTTCTCAGCGAAGCACCAATCGTTGACAAGTTATTGTTTGATGCGACACAGAGACCCGAGTGGGAGACCGCTACGTTCTACGCGAAAACATGGCTTCCGTTGCCGGAAGAACAACGTTTCATGGATCCAGAGTCGGCAATGCGATTCGTTAAAGAAGGTGGATTCGCCTACCACACGCACCCGGACGTCGCCTATCCCATTGTCGATCGATTTTACAGCAATCGCGAGATATGCGAATTGACGGAGGTTCACTTGGCAAGACCCACGCGGTCGACTTTTGCCGTAGCTCTCAATAGTACCATCGTGGAAATCGTCAGAGTTGGGTAAGGGCGAAACGCTCGACGCTGCACAACAAACGAAAATGCTCAGCTTGTTCGTTTCCCTTTCAACGTTTTTTTAGATTAACCAAAATATCGGAGGTGGGCTTGCGAGCGCGGCAAATATCCAGGTGGCAGTACAGAAAGCCACGCTGTCGAAAAGACGTATTGAGCGCCTCGAGCGTGACCGTGTACGAATTCTCGCCGCATCTTCTACTCCTGCTGATTGGTTATTTGATTGCTCTGGCGACGTGTATCATGGAAATCTACATTGCTAATCGTAATGCTAGAGATGTACAGTCTACTAACGGCACGACGTCAAATTTGCGCTTCGACGTGTAACTAATTGATCCGCTAGATTTTTCTTATTCGTCGGATAAATACAACACAAGCACTGGATGTTCAAATATAGACTAGTTTATCGGCCCATAATTTCCATAATTGATGACGCTAAACAGTCTTGCGACAACGCTCGACGCAAATGTACACGATAAACAGCGCGGTCACGCGAACCTGCACGTTATCCGTAACGCGCGATATTCTCGACGTTTTCGACGAGTGTTTCCGAAAAAAAAGCCTGGAACGAACGACCAATAGTTCGATTCGCAAAATAAAACCCGCAAAGATCGGTCTGTGAAAAACTCGATTCCACGGAGCGTTCAAAAACAAAGAGGGAGAGAGGCACGAACGGCTAATCCAGCCGGGAGTCTAATAAACGCCGGCACGTGCGCTAAAAATCGAGCGAGCGCGCGCGCGCACGCATCGCTCTTCCTTTTAATTTCGTTATATATATACGGGGGAAAGGGCTGCTACGCGAGGATCGTCGTCGTCGTCGTCGTCACGGATATGTATGTCCCCCGCGGGATGTTGGCCCGGTTCTGAAATCCTGTTTCGCGCATCGCCAGGTCGTACGTGCCGGGGATCCCGCTGCCGAGGAGAACGGATATGACGCCTGGCCTCTATATGGCTATTTATTTGGCCCTCTTTTTCCCTCTTTCTCTCGCCGCCGGCTTATCTCTGGCGTCGGTGTTTTTTTCCTCGTTGCTTCCGCTTTCCTATTTCTAGAGAGCACGCGCTCTCTCTCTCTCTCTCTCTCTCTCTCTGATCTATCGGCCCTCCCGCACACACAACGGTTATTCTGCTATTCTGCGTGCGGCGGCCACGGCTACTCGATGCCGCGCGGAGTTTATCGGCTCGCCGCAAAATTTATCGCCTCTAAACTGTGCACTCCTCTTTTCTTGGTCTCCTGCTTCGCGGCCGCTCGCGATCACCTCTCGATATTTTTCACGCTGAATCTTTTCTCCCTCGTTTTGGACGGCGATGCCGGGACGAGAGCCCTTACGACTCTGCTGGCTCGTAGCCTTGGTCCAGTCGCGGCGCACGCTCAACTTTAACGAAAGGAATCCACCCCGAGCACGTCTCCGAATTGGAATGCCGGAGAAGAAAAATTTGGAGAAAAAAGAGGGCCGCGATTAATCAGCGCGATTAACAGTTGGATGCGGCATGGGCGGTCGATTAATCTCTCAGGGCAGCGGCGGCTGGGAAACTGGGAAACGCGGACGCGGCACGTGCTCGTCGACGGTAGTCTCGCGGGAGCCGTCGATGGGATGAGAGTTTCCTGGGCGAGCAATAAACGCCACCTCCGCAGCGTGCTTTCACAACGTATCTCTTTGTTTTATTTACAACGGCAACAGAAAGACAGCGAGAGATCAGTCGATTCTCGCGTAAGCGGCGAAGTTGGCGACGCCACATCGATTCTTGGCCTTCCGCAGCTTCATGTAGCCGTCTTCGCCCCAGCTGGAGCCCCACCAGTTCTTCAGGATCCAATAATCGGGCGTGTAGCCGACGGCCAGCATCGCATGATTGACCAAATCCGACGTGCACGACAAGTCGTCGTAGATGCCTGAACTGCGGAGCGTACACTCGTGGGTAAAGGTCATTTGCATCGCGCGCGGCGCACTCACTTGTACAGCTGGAAGGTTCGAGGACTGGCGTTGATGGAGACGGCGACCGGGCCGATGGTCGCTATCGCTGCCTCGAGGGTTCGCTCGTCGCGCGCCGGCAGGATGGCCCAGGACGAGATGCTCACCGCGCTCAGCCGCTTCTGATACTTGCACACGCCTTTCTAGCCGGGCCAAAGTTTCCCGTGAGCCCGACGAAAGCTTGACTATCGGCCGACGGCCAGCGCCGATCAGCGTCCGACCGAGCGGAGCGCGAGCGCGAGCGCGATTCTCGCGAATCACCTTGAGCGCCAGACGCGAGCGATCGATTAGCCCTCGTACGCGCGAGCGTTGCCGTGGAAAATCTACGCGCGATAATTGAATTGCCAACACTTGCGCGCCGAGATAGCACCGTTAATTGTTAAGACTATCGTTGGCGCGCTCGCGACTCTGCAAAACAGCGCCGGCTCTCGTTTCTTTCCTCGTGCTCGCGCCTCCGTCTCCACCGAGATGACGAAAGCGACCAGGAATCCCAAGCGAAAATCAAGGCTCTCGTCGGACGGACGCTGCTCGGCGCTTGCGCTCCTTAGCTCGCTCGCATCTGCTTACGGAAATCAAGGCTCCAACTTACGTGGGCGGTGTACGGATAGTTGTCGCCCGTCATGATGCCCTTCGAGCGCTCCAGATACCTCAGCGTGTTCCTCAACGACCCACCGGAGCATCCCAAATTGCCAGTTAGAGTGCTGCAGTCGACGAGCTGCTGCTCGCTCACCGTCACCACCCGTCCGATTTTCTTGAAGATCTGCCCCGAAATCACGCCGGCGATGCTGTACGCGTAACAGCTACCGCAGTCGCGCTGGTTCTCGGGCTTCGTCACGAAGCCCCGTTCTCGCCAATCCAGCGAGTTGGGTATCATGTGAGGATCGGTGAGCACTGCTGCCACCATCTCGTCGTTGCTCACTTCTCGCCGCGTACTCGGAGTCAGTTTTACCTATACCACGTTTGTACTATTTATACAAGTTCATGCTACCACGGATGAACGGATTTTCCTCAAATTATTGCATCCTAATTAGAGCGCTTGAACGTGCGATCAAAGATATGCCTCAAAGAATAGCTATCTTGTCGCGGATTATTCACCCGAGGTCCCTCTAGGGCCACAGCTTTCAAACGCGAAAGATATTCAATTTCATTGGTCATCGACCAAAAGTAAACGTATTGCCTCTCGATCGACGTGCGACAACCAATGTTCGCATTAACTTTCGAAAAAAATTGAATAGCGCTAACGAATTGACTGCGTGCTAACGAAGCGAAATCAGCCCGTAATTATTATAAACAATATAAGCAATCGAGCTTTTCACCACTAAATTCAGTTCTCATAATCGGTTCAACGTCTCCCGGATGTTTGTCTGTATCGTACCAAAAGGAATCTCAATATTCCGTTAGAATAACAGGAAGCCGAGACTCAGCGCGCAAAATGAAGGAGAGAAAAAAGAGCGAAGAAGAGGAAGACGTCGCAAGCAGTACTCGACAAACTCGCGAAGAAAAGGAGGGAAGCTCGGGCTTGGCCCGAGGCGTCATCTCGGCGCGCGAGGGATTAAGGATATAGTGTGGCGCTCGGTTCCAATCACACGGAGCCACACGGCGAAAAGTCGGCCCTCCGATACACGTGAAAATCCCGGCGAAACTTTCGCAATGAAGATTCCGTCACGTTTTCCTCGCCGGCTCTGTACGTTTTTTTTTTCTCGCTGCTCTTTTGTTTTCTTTTTTTCGCGCACTGAGCACTCCGTTAATTAAAGTTTGGCGCGCGAGACTGAATCTGACGGCGGTTCCCACGCTGCAAAATCAAATCAGCTACATAGGTACCATTTCGCGTTTGTATTGGCTGGCAGTGAGGTCAGCAATGTGGTTGTCACGCAGGGTGTAGTTATGATGTCCCGCAGCGGCCATCATGTTGTGCTCGTAAATCTTGAGTAGGTTGTCCTCCCAGGCTTGCCGATGCGACAGCTCCTCGCTGCCCGTGTACGTCTTGTTGTGTCGCGCCTGCAATCATTTTCGACGAACGCCCTTACAACGGGATCCGCTCTGTAGCTATAGTTGCGCGAGGGCTTTGTCCGCCGTGCGAGTGCCTCCGCTTGCTAATCGTTTCGCGACGTTGCGCACCGTTATTAGTTAAGTCGAGTAACGAGATGGACGTTGCCAATAGGTCGCGATTTGGGTGATTCGAACGATATCGCCGCAATATTTGATGACAATACCTTGTACGTGTACCAGTACTCGTCGAGTCTTCTAGATACCTCGGGGGGTAGGGCGCTTTCGACCTTGACGTTGCCCAGCGCGAGAAACGAAATCACCAGCCCCAGGACATTAAGCAGATCCATATCGTCGCGTGCAGCGTCTTCCGGATACTCACTCGTACCTCAGCCTCGAGTCTGTTGAATCCTTCGTCCATCGCTCGCCCGGCGACGATTGCGCACGAGCCAAATTTACAAAGTGACGAGTTTGTTTTCGCTGACGGGGCCTTTGCGAAATGCCCAAAACAATAAACAGCTGCGCGTCTGACAGGATCAATTCCGTAACTACTTGCAAGTAATAGTAGGCGCGGCTGGCCTACTTGTAGCGCTCGTAAAGGGAGCGCAACAGTGAAGGCAGCAATGCCCTCGAGCGAGAGATTAAATGGATGTGCTCTTTTATTATTTAAGAGACTATACAGAGCAAACGTCCTCGCCCTCTCTCTCTCTCTCTCTCTCTCTCTCTCTCTCTCTCTCTCACTTTATGACTTGGGGCTGTGCGTGCGGTGGAGCTTCGAGCTTTTTACTTTATTTTGCTTTCGATAAGACGATTGTGTAACATATTACGTCGGATGCTTCGATCTTTATCGCCGTTCCTTCGCCACTGCAAAGCCATTCGAGAGGATCCATTATTCTACTTGCTAGCTTTTCCATGTAATAACGCGCGCGCTTAGTTATGCAAATGCTGTTAAAATATGTTTGTCAAACAGCGCAATTATCGGTTTCTCAAGATTCCGCATAAATTTCATTGAGTGAAGAGAGAGAGAGAGAGAGAGAGAGAGAAACAACAACAGCGAGTCGGCTTTTGTTATGGAAAAAAACGTTCGCATTGTTACACAAAGCTTCGAGTATTCCAGACGTTTCGCTCGTTACGCGGAGGTGACACTCCGCAGAAACTTATTCTCTGCCGGGAGATACGCGGCTATCAGTCGCGCAATAATCCTCCGCGCGACGCCGCCGTAGCCGTGCGTGGCAACGATCGCTGCCACATTGACTTTGAGCTTTTATCCGGCTCGTCGAAATAAGTCGTCTGCGCTAGGGCCGACCTCCGCGGCATTTTTACTCCCGTCGAATATCTCGCTGACTCGTCTGTTATTCCACCTGCTCGTCTTCATCGGCAGCGTCATCGACATTCGTCTCTGTCAACGCGCGTACGCGCGGACCGATCTTCTCGCGAGCGCCAGTGAAAGTGATCCACTGCGCGCGACTCTTCGACCGCCGGCTGGCGGCGCCGTAGATCGTCATGAGATGTCGCTAGCGTAGCCAGATCGAGCGCAACGAAGCGGCGCGTCGCGCGTATACTCTCGCCGGTAGCGAGCGCGACGGCGGCGGCAGCAGCAGCGTTCAACGGCCTGAAAGAGAGAGAGAGAGAGAGAGAGAGAGAGGAGCGCTCGCCAAGGCGCACTGGCTGCGGCTGCTGCTGGCTGCTTGGCGTGCGCGCGGGTTTCGCCGCTGCCACCGCCTCTGGCGCTTAGTCAGTCAGTCCGCGTTGCCGCTGTTAAATCGTCGGCGGGGTCCCCCGTCTCGGGCGCGCTGTGCGCGGACTTGTCTCTCTCTCTCTCTCTCTCTCTCTCTCTCTTGCGTCGTCGGCATTTTCGTTTGTGCGCGCGCTCGCGAGTGACGTCACGAACTCTCGCTCTCGTACGTATCCGCACGAGAGAGAAAAGCGAAGTCAAAGTAGGTCAGAGAAGAAAATACACGGCGGCGGTGAAATGTACGAGTCGGGGATAGACATGGGTTTTGACCTGGCGGCTCTGACGAGGGACGAGTTCGAGTACAGCAGTGAGCTCGAGCAAGCTCTGTCGGTGCTGCCCACCTCTCAGGATATCATGTATTATGAGCTGAAGAGTCGCGCGCCCGACACCGCCAGGTACAATACTATCTTCTTTTCTATACTCGCTGCGTATGCGCCTACTACCGATCTTTACAACACTCGCGCGCGCACCTCCTCTCTATCTCTGCTCTACTATTGGTGTTATTCGCTCTCGAGTGACCGCGCATGCGCAACACCTGTTGCACACAATACGCACTCTTCTCAAGTCGACCGATTCTACGGGATACGCAAGCTCGTAGATTTTTGGTTGTTTGGCGAGGTTCGTTTTTGCGAAGCAGACGACGCGCAGACGACGGTGCTCGTTGCCGACGACCTTCCCGCACAGCGTCCGACTGCTTTGTAGCTGAGATGCGCGCCATCTCTTTCTTTCTCTCTTTCTTATTTAAAATGTTATGCTTCGTTTGGCGGACGAGAAGCGCGTCACGATCCGGCGCATAGCTGAAAATCACGCGGCGCCAATTGCAGCCAATTACTCGGCTGGACTAAAGTGAGCGCCAAGGCAACATTTCCATACGGACGTCGCGCGCGACAATGGATCCTCCGGTGGCAACAGTCGACGCTCCGAAAATTCGCCGGAGGAAAGTGGCGCGGCTGCAGCCGAATGTGCCTCGGGTGGAATTTTACTGGCTGCGCCGCCACACGTGCTCACCGCGTGCGGAAGCCCCGCGCTTCGTTTTCGCGCTACTCCGGCGACCTTGCGACAAGTAAAAGAAACAAAGTTCGGATTTCCTTGGCTTGCCTACTCGTCGCTCGCCGAGCGAGCTTCCTTTTGAGCAATCAGAGCTTTTTGGCGCAAGCTCTCTCTCTTTCTCGGGCGCAAGTATTTACACGACAGCTTGTTTGGCCGCGCGAACGCTTGGCAGCAACGGCGACGCGGACCCGCTGGAGCAGTAAAGCATTGCTCTTCGAAGCGAGGACAAATCGTTCGTTCGTTCGTTCGTTTGAGCGGGCTTCAACCAAGTCATTTGCATGCCTCGATTCGCGCACACGACTGATTAGTATTGATATCGTTTTCAAATGACACAAGATTCGACCGCGAGCCAAGTTTTCGCACAGCGAGTCTGCATAAAATACCAATCACATCTTGTGCATTAATAAAACTCAATACCTATTTTATTAATGTTTCTATTGAATTATGTCAGAGGGACGCATGCCATTGCGGCGTTACAGATGATATTTCGTGATTACAGACCGGGCCCCCTGGACTCTGTGCTGCGTTTCGAAATCTTCCACTTGCTCCGCAATGATGAGCTATTGAAAGGATTATTATTAGATAAAATGTTGCCGTGCAATTTTATTGCCAAATTCATGTCGTATCATTGGCTTTCACGTTCATTTGGAAATGCCGTTAATGTATTCAGGAATGAAATACAATGAGCGCACCGATCGTCTTTACCTCGCAGCCAGCACGAGTAACTGCACACTGTGAAACGCACTTTCAAAATACTTTCGTTCCAATCGAGAGAGACAGCCATCCCGATAACGCATTTAACGCATTCACCGAGCATAACTCGTAAAACGTTGCAAAATACCCGGCGCTTCGTCGACTCGTACAACTTTTCGAGGAAAACGAACAATCAAGTTTTATTGTCCGCGGCTAGCTTCGACGGCAGAGAGAAAAATAAGCGAAGCGAGCCAAGAAGGAATATAGGTACGCGATAAGTTTTTCATCACGGACGTGGACTTTTGTGCGTCCTAAAATTGAACGAAGGCGACAGCAGCGGAGAATAAAAACAAGAGAAATTGTATTGCGCGGCTCTAATGACGAGGTCGTCGACGACATCGGTATTATCATGGGCCAACGGATTTTCACGCGTGGCCTCTGCCGCCGCGCCTTTACATCTGGATTTTCCGATCGAGCGCGAGCCGAGCGAGGCCGACGGCCTTGCGCGCGGACGCGGCCTTTGTCCTGGCGCCGGACAATGCTGCATAATTATCGGCGTTCGCACTCGCGCGCCGAATTCGCGGGTGCGCCTCGCTCTCGAGCGACTTGGACTCACCGCGCCGTCTCTACGCGCTCGTTTCGTTTATTTTTCCTCTATGCCGTCGCGCGCGCGCGCGCGTGCAGGCGTTCACTTACGCGAGACCAGGTGCAAAATACCTCCTCCTCCACCTTCTCCGTTCCTCGCCTTCGAAAAATACTCTGTGTGTGTGTGTGTGTGTGGCCAAGCAATTTTGAGGCCGCTTGGCGCGCGACATCGCGAAATTCGTTCGCGAAACCTTCTCCGATTATTCGTCGCGGCCGAAACCCCATCGAGTGCGTGCGGCGCACTGTCCGCGCTCGTCGGTTCAATTTCCAGGTCAGATCGTCTGCGTCGATCGAGCGTATAAATGCGCCTCGGTCGAGCAGCGAGAGCCGGAATACGCGAGCCGCGCCGAGCCGACACTCGCCAAATGCCAATTCAAACCATTCGACGATTCAATTGATCGAAGAATTCGCGCGCAGCGGCTTCTAGTCCCCGAAGAAAGGCTTTTCGGCCTTTCGTCAGCCGCGCAGAGACCGCGCAGAGACCGCGCAGAGACCGCGCGAGCCAAGGTCTTCGAGCCGCTGTCTGTCTCGCTGTCGCGTGCGCGTGCCTGCGCCTCTCGATGGAATCGCTTCTCTTTGGATTAGGGGCCAAGGCCGCAAGTTCCGCGAACCACGATGAAGAGAAAAAAAATGCCTCCAGCTTCGCGCGTAAATAAAACACACGAGTGTCTCTCGGCTCGGCTAATAATAGCAAAGCTGCGTCTGGACGCGAAAATAGCGATCCATTGGTTCGGAAATTGCAAAGAGCCGACTAAAAATACCATTGGTCCGCGGAGCCTATCTCCCTCTCTCAGTCGGCCTCTCCGCCACGCACGGGACCGTCTATTTCTAGTCCGGGAGTTTTTCGGGAGCGTTGCGTGCGTGCGCGTGTGAACTTGTCGTCGATTGCCGCGACCTTCACCCTCTAATCCGATGCGCGCGCGCGCGGCTGCACCGTTAGCCTCTCGTGGCTAACGCTTCGGCGCCCGGTGACGCGGTGCCCTGCATTACGCAATGCGGATTCTCGGCGAACGGACCAGGCGGTGTACGCGTACGTGGCGATCGGTTCGTTCGGCAGCGGCGAGAATCTCATCGACGAGTCCTTCGCGCCGCTCGCGAGAGGAAACAAGGCGAAGACGACAGTCGCGCGGCAACGATAGGCGTGCGCATGCCGGGGCATGCCCTGACTATCGTCACGAGCATACGCGCGAGCATTAATAGTTGGAGCAGAGCGCTTGCCAAAAAGTTCTGCCCTCTCTTTCCTTTCGGGCGCGCGGCGCCTCCGTGTTCCCTCGGATTTTGCAGTAGCTTAGCGGCTCTTGCCGTCGATCTGCGTCCCGTCGTCGTCGCGTGCGCGCTCGCTGATATGCCCGCGCGATAAGCAATGATTCGCGGCGGCACGGCGTTGTCGCGGCAGATCGTGGAGTTCGAGGAGCTTGTCTCGCGATTCCACGAGCACCGGCTGGCTAGCGGCGGCGATAAGCAAGCGATCGGGTCGCAACCGCAGCAGCAGCAACTTAACAATCTGGCTATATTGGAGGGATTAGCGCGACTGTCAAGGTCGGCCGGCAACACTGACTTCCTCGATCAGAACAGTCGCCAACAACGGGCGTCGCCGTCGCCAAGTGCTGTCAATGCTGGCGGAGTCGACTCGCCGCCGGCTCACGCTGCTCGCTACGCCGCCGAACAGGTGTAGCATCCCTTACCGATCTGCTTCCATTCTTCTCCACTGCCTTCCGCTCGCCCGTGCGCGTCACGCCGAGTCTCATCGTAACGCACGAACAGCAGTTTTACTTTTCGATGTGCATACTTATTTTCTTCCTCTTTCTCGCGGATTCGCTGTTTGCGTTGCGATTCATCGACGGAAATTCGTCTCTGGAATTGCGGCTTTACGCGCACGAGAACTAAAGTCAATGTTCCGTTTGTATAAGCAAATAATAATACCATTAGGCAGGAACTCTGTTTTCAACGATCTGTATAAAAAAACAACACCTCTTCTTTTTAGCATACCACTTGCGTTTCAAATTACGGCATTCAAACTTTGATGGCGGCCTGTTGGTTTACGTGTATAGTATGGGAATAACTCGTTATTATCGTGACTCTAATAATCAAGACCGAATTATTGCAAGACTAAAAATGTACCGAAAGAGTTATTTAGCTTTTTCATTGCCATTCGTCTCGGGCTCTTTTCAAGTAGCTCGTGTTAATTTCTGTTCACTCCAGGAGAAGTCTGCTGACTAGCCACTTGTTTCAGAGATTATTCTTTACAATTACTGTTCAGCTATTCCACTGCACTTCACGTTCGTCAGCTTAATTCTATTAAAACTGTCCTTATGCATATAAAGGGGGGATGTATCATCTCTCTCTGAGATTACACAATTATTCGCTATATTATGACTACGTTTATCGTGTTTTATTTTTCAATATTCGACCGGATTCTAACACAACGAATCGGGCAAAAGTCACGCAGCGATACACAGCCTCCAAAAGAAAGAAAATTTGAATGACGCACACTTAATAAACAACCCATAATTGTAGCATCGCCAGCAACAGCAGCAGGCGGTTCGTGTAAACATTGGTATCGACGAGGATCTACAAATGATATTGGAAATGGATCCGGCGATCGTGGACCGGGTGCCGCCGCCGCGGCAACTGCCAGCTCCTCGGGCGAGCAACCGACCTCAAGGCTGGTACGCCAAGTGTTGTGTGGCCTTGTTTGTCGATTGTCTTGTGCATGGTGTGATGCTACGTTCTGCATGTCAAGCAAGTTGATACAAAAGTTAATACAAAACGAAAAAAGAAACCGTAGCGACACTTACGATCGCGGTTTGCCGCGAAATTCGCGCCGATGGGACGTATGATCGATCATAAAGCCGCCGAAACCCGTGGCACGGAGCGGAATTTGCAGTTTAGCGGTTACCGTTGGAATGCTTTGATTAAAATGCCACGATAATGAGGTTAGGATTTGAGAGGGGGCGTCGCACCGACAGCAGCACCACACGCTTTGTCACCCAAGACGATAATGCATATCTCTCGCTCTATGGCTGTGCGGCCTGTCAACCTCTCTCTCTCTCTCTCGCTCTCTGTCTGGACTTCGGTTGGAATCCCAGTTTCCCTCGGAATTTCGTCATTTCTTTTTCTTCCTTTAAACGTCCTTGAAATTTGGAAAAAATTTATTTGCATTCGTGATTGCGAATCCGACCTTGATTTTTGTTCCCTTGTCACGTTTAGAAGAAAAAAACTAGTCCCAAAGAAATTTTTGACGCTATATCGACGCAAAAGAAAAAGAAATTCGCCCCGTAATCGTTGATTTATTTGTTATACTGGCCATGCATCGAAAACGTGCTTTCAGCTTGTCATGCAGACGTCACTTTTTGCCCCGGCAATAAATACTCCAATTATATAGGCGAGGGGATCCTTTACTCTGACATGTTCGAATGAATTAACCAGCAGTTGGAACTCGATTTGATTTCAATTATCTTGTTTACTTTGAAATCATCATTCATATTAATCACTTGATACACACCCCAAACGAATTGTGATAACGATCACAATGACAAGTGTCCATCGCAATAATGTGCAAAACAGTGAAAAGAACAATGAATATTTATTAATATTATTAAATTGGAAATATGCAAGGTAAAAATGTGCGATTCAAAGTAACACCATCCTGGTGATTTTCAAAACTATTCTTATCGCCTGCGATGACCTAGAGAGGCGTGACATCCCCCTATCGCACGACCCGGTATTCACGGACATGTGAGTGCGGCCGTGCGCTCCCCACCGAAAAATAAAGCCGATTTTTTTCGGCGGTAAAAGAAGTTCATCTGCAGCTAACAGAAGGCGAAAGCGTTACGTGCTTTCCTCGCCTCGGCGGGATTGACAAATCGCGTGTTTTGTCCAATAGTCGCTTTACGAAACTGTTTTCAGTCCGTTGAATTTCTCGCGGGCAAAAAATGAAAAAATGCAGAAGCACATTCGCACTAGGATTGGAGCCAGATCGACTCAAGAGCTAGTTTGAATATATCCGAGTTTAGTCACTCCAATCCTGTTATCTTTGTTGGCAGGAACCGTAAGTTAATCTTAGCACGGAGAATATTTCTTGGATGCACTACTTTGGCGAAACGCTTTTCGAGCCGAGATCAAGCGAGCGACGAGATGTGGTGCGCGAATGAGCCAATTTTCGCACTTGACGGGCAGTTTGAACCGGTTCGCCAATCGACCAGAAAAATGTACAAGAGTGATTCATTATTTGTCAGGCGAGAGTGCCCAAATAATTAGTCGCTTAATACGGCTGATCGAGCACGAAAGATTTTGATCGGACGGCTGTTGAAGCGGCTTGCTTCTCCCTATAAACATTCGTAAGGTGACCAACGCGAGCGTTCAATGCGCGACAGACTGCAATGGCAATGTGTCATCGTCCACAACGAGCGTCAATTTATATCGGAATGAAAAGCAATGTCACTTGGAACTCCATTCGAAGGAGCGTTCTTTTTTAATTAGCAAGCGGCTCTGCGCTGCCTTCGGAAATAAAGAAAAACAGACAGCAAACGTGGAAAATCTGCAGGAAAAACAGGGAAAAAAGGCCTCGTACGTTTAATAATCAGATCTCCGCGCTTGCGCGGTTGCGCACGCAGCGCGGAGAGAACGGCAATTAACCACTTGAGCTTGTAATTACATTCACGCCACCGTTGCGGAGCGATAATAGAGGGAGAAGCCGCGCAACGAGCTGCCCGGCCTTCTTTCATTTTGACAAACATTCTTATTGCGTTGCGATTGTTAATTGCCGCGAGATTGTCTTTCTCATTAAAAAAGAAAAAAAAAATGAAGCCCCGGGCCGAATAGCCAGCTAACGAATGGGCGCACGGGCGACGCGCGTTTCCCCACGAGAAGCTTTCGACGTGGCTTGCGGGAGTGCGCGTCGACTGTCTGTGCGCAACGGACTAATTTCCACGGTGACCGCTTCGCTTCTTAATTTTCGAATTGACGCCAACGCGTCAATTTCAACTTTTCTTTTTCAAGTGTGTATATGTGTGTGTGTGTGTGTGTGTGTGTGTGTGTGTGCGTGCGACAAGTTTCTGAGAACTTATTCGAGCTGTATTCACAACGTATTCGTGCGTTTGAAGTAACTTTTCTGTTTGCTAACGTAAAAAATATGACAATTCCTTTTTCAAGTTGAAATTAATGATTTTGGTGACAGAATTTCCAGTGGCTGATAGACGAGCTTAATATAACATCAGTATTGTTTATCAGTTGTTCATACAGTGGTTATTCGGCGATCGTAAACAAACGAATTATTTCAATAGATACTTTGATCCCATTGTTTATTCGTAGTCGAAGGGTGTTTCGCAAAATGTTCCGACAAGCTATCTTAATCAGCAACTTTTGAAGAGTGGATTGTCTAATTGGAAGGAAATATAATGGAATAATGTGCTTTTGTATTTGAACTGAACTGTGCGTATCGCGTATGAATCACGTATGTTTACTATTGGATAGACGCGGGACGTGGCAAGAGTATCGTGCAGTCGCAGTGTTCAGTGGAAAATCCAGGTGTACGTGAAATCCAAGAGTCGGAAGATCAAGAGTAGGTAGGTTTGGAGAGGCTTATTTTATTTGATTTTTTTGTCGCCTGGAAAAAGCGCCAAATTGAAAATGTAAATGCTCAAGTGCGCGCGCGAGTAGACTCAACGACACCTCGCGCAATAATTAATGCAGCCGGGCGTAATTTCGCTCTGTTTCCGCACTCGGCATTTCATGAGCCGCTTTTCCGGCGCACTCGTAGCTTCTTTGATAACTCATTAGCATAACCAGATACGCCCTGTAATATGCAGATCAAACTCGGCTCGCGCTCGCGCGCTGAATATGTGCATATTCGTTACAACACTTGCTCTCGCTCGCTCTCTCTCTCTCTCTCTCTCTCACTCTCCGCGTCGTTCTATCGGATCCCCACCTTCAACCTTCAATTCATTAGCCCTCGGCCCGGCTCTTTCTCCCATCGTCGCGGGCAAAAATTAAGGCGCGCGGCTAAGGCTTACGCCGTTAAGCCCTTTAAATCTCGATCGCGTTTGCATATGCATGCGCCAGCGTAACACCCGTCGCAGCCCATAACAATAATCGTAAGCGCGATAAGCGATAAAAGTTCGCGAGCGTTATTGTCTTTTGAGCTTTTTTAAATTGCTCGAGACACCATTTTTTTGTTTTTGCTTCGTCGCCGACGATGCGCTGGTGGTTATGAAATGAATATTTGATCTCCAGATAAGCTTGCGACAGTTTTCATTAAATTACACGCGATAAGATAGCGACAAAGAGAGAGAGAGAGAGAGAGAGAGAGGAGTGGAAGGGGGGGGGGGGGGGGAAAGAAGAATCATCGTGTAATCAAAACGGCGATTTTCGTCGCCGACATTCGAGTTCATGTATGCAGAAGTGAAACGCAAGCGCGCGCAAGATGATGTATTTTTATCTGAGAGAGACGGGAGGGGAGAGGAGAGAGACCGACAGCCTTTGGACGCGCGCCGAGTGAGCAAGATGAAGCGTGGGAGAGTTTTGACGACGACGAGCTTTCCGACACACCGCTGCTGCCGCCGCTGACCTTTATACCGACAAGCTTTCTCAAAGCTTTGATCAATTTTCCTTTCATTGATTTCGTAGCTATCTCTTTATCGATATTCGACGTTCAAACGTTTAATTTTTTTTCTGCAGTATTCTCTTCTTGATTCGGATCAATAACAAATTCGCGATAGGCTCTCTAGCCGCGTAATCAGCGCTCTAATCTTAATTGAGTTTCTTTGAATGTTTCTCAATGAGACAAACGTGTTATGCTAATGAGCGAAAGACATTAACAAGTAATTACTGATATTCATTAGCTTTGGATATTAAACGTCCGTTCTAAATGTATAAATTGTCGATAATTACATGTACAAAGTAAATGGCGGTTGTTGCAAGCGCCAAAGATACAAGATTATCAAGAAGCATTCATTAGAGTTAATTTTAGAAACGCGCTCTGCGTTATCGCGCGTTGACATTAGTTTAATAACAACTTATTTATCGACGAAGCATCAGTCAACTCGCAGGGGTGTGAAAAAATGCGGCAAATCAAGCGTCGACAGTTAATTAAAACAAAAATCGATAGAGAGAGAGAGAGAGAGACGATTTAAATGACACATCATCGACGGACGATAACTATTTGAAGTATATATACATATACCGTGAGGTCGGTTCTCGCACCGAGAGTTAATCGAACCGTCAATCATGTAACCTTTTTCGTAGGAGCGCACAATTTTGCTTGCCTGCGGAGTCTCGCTTTAAAAGCCTCGAGTTGAACACTTTCTGGCTAATTCTCTCTCTCTCTCTCTCTCTCTCTCTCTCTCTCTCTTTGCCCGCTATTCGCTTCTGCTTTCATCGGGCCAAATCTACGCTCCCTGGAATCTTGCAATTTTGATGTGTAACTAGACAGAAGGTAAATTACTTCTTGGCCTTCCATTCGCGTCCACTGGATAAATTACACTTAGTTCTATATGGATTCTTAACGAGGCTTCATTATCTTGCGGCAAAAGGAATTCCTCGTCTTGGAGAGCGATAAGCCACGTATATTACTTGCGTGACGTCGAGCAGCCGAGAAATCGACCGCTGACTCGTCAAAGACACAGTTTTTCGTTAAGTTGCAAGATTTTCACGATGTTTGTCGCTTGGCGCCAAAGGAGAAAGTTGTTTACGAGAATTGTTGAAATGCGATCATCGAAACGCTTCGGTAGCATTGCAAGCCGGAGCTTCGTTCGTATGTTCAGAAAAATTGAATGCTCTCACTGCACATTTAATTCATTATTTGAAAATAATTGCCTAATGGAAATCTCTCGTACGTATAATATTGTCGAATGCAGTATAAGTAAATCGACACCTGGCTTGAGCGAAGCAGCGAACGCAAAAGCTCACAAAGAAAGACAGCCACTAAAATTTGTAGCTTCGACAAACGGCCCGACGCAGTCGGTCGACTTGGAAAAGGGAAAGAGAAAAGTTTCCAAGTGACATCGAAAGAAAACTGCAGGAAGTAGAATAAGCGTGTGCACGTCAGACTTGGATCTATAGATCCGTCGATCGATCTTGGCGCACAAAGTGTCCCTTTCTTATCGACAGCCGGTCGTGTGCGCGCGGTGCGCGCGGCGCGCGCGCGTCCGTGGCATTGAAATCCGAAATTAGAGCGAGCGTGGCCTCGCGGGTGAATAAAGCTTTTTCTCCGCTCTCCTTCCCTCCTGCTCTTTCTCGCTGACAGGCTTTCGGAGAAAATTGCGTTTGCGTGCGCAGGCAGGCAATTCATCATCGCGTGAATGCCTAACTCAACAAACTCGCGATTGTGTTTGTCGCACGCACGGCTAAACCGTATGTCTACTACTGGCAATGACTTGGACGGCTTTATGGGCGTTTATTAATTCAGCGCGTCACTTTGGCCTTCTTTCACTGCATGTCGGTATTAGATCTGTGTCAACGACTGGAAATTCACGTTGGTCGCCTTTTCTTTTTTTCTTCATAGCTTTATTCTCGCAATAGCCGAAGGATAAGGAATTCAATTAGCGCCGTCGGGAGGAAACGGAGGAGGCTTTTCTAATTTTGCAAGTTGATTACAATTTTTCACAGCTTGTTAGAATGGGGCTTGCGTTTACTTTGACATTCGCTTTTACTTTTGTTACGAGAGCGAAGCAACAAAGCTTTGCATTTTAGCAAATTGAATTTCTTTGTTTCAAAACCATCTCCGTAATTGCATATTATCATGCTGTTTAAAATGCTGAAATTTAATCACATAAGCTTTCTTCATTACCAACAAAATGAGAAAATGAGTAATGCACTAGAAAGACAATTATTCAATTAACATTCGCCCGTATGAAGTTAAAAATTTTCTACTTGGCGATGCGAGCAGAAATACTTTGATAATGCAAATGTGTATTTTTAACGATTATAAAATTGATGATAAAGCTTGTAGCCTCGAAATAGTTCTGAATTTGTTTTACGAAAAAGACTACTACTTTTACTTCGCATCAAGCGCTTCAAAATCAAGCTCCGAGTAATTTGCTACGGTGAATATTGCTCGAGCGGCAGCGCCCGTCGTGCGCAAAAAAAGCTGTCGAGCTTCGTTTCCAGCGCAAACAGTTTCCCAACCTTTGAAAGCGCATGTGCGACGTCGTCGAAGCAGATAAGAACGAGGCGAAGCTCGTCGCGGGGAACGACTCGTAAATCACGGCAATTAGCACTCGGCTGAGCGAACGCGTCGCGTGCGTATTTTTTATTGTTTTTCCTTTTTCCTCGGCTGGCTCCGACAGTGATTTTCGACACGCGGGTGCCCGCCAACGGAATGCCGAATTGGGGCGGCGGAAAGAAAAGCGTAACGCGTTCTCCGAAAGACTGCGACGCGCCCGCACGACGACCGAAAGTGCGGGCTGCTCATCGCGCAGGGAAAAGTGTCGGACGCGAGGGAATCTAATTACACTGGAAAATGAGAAAAACGTCAGCTCTCGTCCCGCGGACTCGCGCATCGTGCTTATATATCGACAGCTCTCGGGTGCAATTTTCATACGCGAGCGTGGAACGTTGGTGACGTGCACGCAAACGTGACAGAGGGCGAGAGCTCGCGGTGCGGCAAAGAGACGTTTGACGCGCACGAGATAAGTCGTAATAATGCGCGCTGCTGCGACTTTCGGATCAAAGTCGCTTATCGTTTGGCAATGCGCGGAGCGTTCGTTACCGATCGACAAGTGTCACCGATAAAACGCGCTACCTCGCGACGATTCAACCAAGCTCGCTCGCGGATCCACTTAGCCGCCGCCACTGCTGCCTTGTCGACCACAGCGCCGGTCCACGACTCCTCGGCTGTTTCCCGTTAATCAGGCCTGACGGTCGATCGCTTTTTCAGAGCTTTCGCGCGCTTTGCGTATGCACGGTGAGTTCGCGCGATTGGTTCGAAAGCGCACGCGCATCCACGTAAATTCCACAGTGCTCGTCGAGCGACGCCTGCGCCAAGTTTTAATTATTCTAACGATCATTTCCGAGCTGCATATTTACGATGCTGTAATAGCGCGCATTGTGCTTCCCTTGACAAACGCCTCGACTCATACCTCAATGTTGCAATTTTAACGAAAATACGCCTGAAGCGAAAGTTATGGTTACGCGTTCCGATATAAATATTGACAGTTCGGCGAGTCACCTTCGGCACACGTATTTATACGCGCAACGCACAGAGGGGCCGTGGCGAAGGAGGGAGGGGGGGAGCATCGGAATAAAAATTTTTATTGTAAATTTTCGCGCTCTGAATGCTCATGACTTAGCGAAAAGGATAAACGATCGCAGAGGTCGCGATGAATCATCGATTGTCCATTCATTTATAACGAAGCTCGTCGCGTGAAAGAAAAAACAACATCCTTCTCTCGCGAGCCGTATCCTTTGTGTGATTTATGCTTTGTATATTCAAATGCATCACCTTCGCTCGTCGAATCCCTTTCGCACCTTGACCCATTGCGTGCGAAGCTGAGAGCGTCGTCGCCGAAAGCAAGGCGGCAAGTGATCATTTCGACGCGTTCGCGCAAGCTAATCGCTCGAGCGATTCGGCTGACGTGCGCTTTAACAAATAAATTAAACTCCGCGCTCGAGTAAGTGAGAGAGAGAGAGAGAGCGCCAATTGAATATGCGGGGCGTGCGCCCTAAATCATCGTTACACTGTTTCCAGCTATTACCTTTTCATTAAGCCTCGGAGCGCCGAGGCACGCAGCGCAGCCAGACAGTCAGTGGTGTAATCTAAATGTTACGCCAAGCGTGAATATTATTACGCGCGTGCGCGCGGATGTATAGGCAGCCGCCAAAACCTATTAATTATTAATACCGCGTAGTACAATCTGTTGGTTCGGTTGGCAATTGTAGCGGCCTTTTCGTTCGCCGCAATGACGCTCGACGTAGCTATGTACACGCAATTATCGATCTCGTATCATTGCACTGGCTTATCAGCTTTTAAGTAACTTTACACAACTAACTGTTTTTCGAGAAGCTATACCTTGCCTACTAACGATTGCTCAAGTTTATGCATTCTCTGCGCTACACTTGTACCAGCTATTTATAGTGCTTAGCAGTCCTTCTTGATAGGAAACATTGAAAAGGACGAGTAATCTGGAATTTTCTGACGTGGAACTTGGTACTTAACAATGTTTCAACGGTGTTTCAACATAGCTTATCTCTCGAATACGGTGTATTGAGTTGTAGAAATATTTCAGCAGCGATAGCTTGTTCGACTACGCAAACGTATAGACACTCAAAATTACCGCTCACTTCGTTATAATTATAGTCCCCATTGTTATTTCGAATGAGGCAATTGCCAAGAAAGTCTTGAAAACACATAGAAAACTGGTCGTTCCATCTAATCTGGATTGTCACCTGCAGTGAGTCGGGTAAGAAAAAGAGAGAACACGTTGCCCTCGCACTTGGCAAACTGAATTTTCTCCGTTCCTTAGCCGAAAAGTTGAGGGATAAAAGAGAGGGGGGGAGGGGGTGAGGGAGGGACGCAAAGACAGAGACTGAAAATGGTTGTTCAATTTTCCAGTCCGCCGACGTTCAAGACGGCAACGCCGACTTCGCGCACGCAGCTGAAACTGCAGCTGATGCGCGAGCAGCTGCAGGAGCAAGAGCGACGAGAAACTGAGTTCCGGCAGAGCTTCCAACAACACAGACCCCAGGCTGCGCCACCCCGACCGGTGCCGTCTGCGCCTTTACCAACCATTGGCGTTGACGTTCCTCCGCAGGTCCTTCAGGTGAGCCTCCTTCGAGTATCGGCCAAGTTATGCTCGATAGAGCGACTTCGGAAAATTGAACGGCGATATTAGCCATCGACTTGGATGAAAATGACCGGCAAGTATAACGAAGCAGGAATCGGAAAGTTTGCTTTACAATCAAATCCAAAATGAACTTGCAGCTTCGAACTGTGAGCCGCACTTGGCATGCTTCGAGGCGCGCGTGGGCGTGGCAAATAAACTTGTTTGGCGGCAAAGTTCCATATGAAAGGAAAAGCCCGGCAAAGTCATTAGAGAAGTGGGGAAAGTGGAGAAGACGTAGGTATAAAGCCCCGGGAAATGGACAGCGGCGCGTGGCGAATCATCTTAACAACTCGTTAGAACGCGAACAACCGAAGGTCCAATAAGCCGAGTGCCTTGAAAAATAACCGGGCGTCGATAAGGCCGTTGAGCGAAAAACTAAAAGAAGTCGAGAAGAGGGGGCGGGGCGGCAACAGCGAACGCAATTTGTCGCAGCAACTAGCGAGTGGTAGTTCGTTCGTGACTCGTAAATTTTTTAATATCGCGCTCGCAGCAGCGATAGCAGGAAGCGGAGCTTTCAATATCGCAGCCAAGCGATGTATAGCCCGAGGTAGAACGAGAGGGAGGGTATTAATTTGCCGACGAAGTGGATTAACAGGGAGCTTTTAGCCGAGGCATTGTTTCACGAGAGACTGACGGATTATTAAAGCTCGGGTGCTACGAATGGCGCGCGCGGCTCAGCGCCCGAGGGGCAGCCCTGCCTTGTTTTTCATCTTTCACTCGGGCGGAGGATAACGCAAAGAAAAGAGGAGAAATCGGCACGGCGGACCAACGCGAATGGATAAATTCGCCCCGAATGGGATTAGGTGCACGCGATACCCTTTGTTCTCGCCTCCTCGTGCGGCACTCGATCGATTGATTGTCGCAGCGGGAAACTCGATTCCGCGCCGTCGAGGCACTAACGAATCTCGCCTCGGTCGCAGGTGCGCACGCTGCTGGAGAACCCGACGCGCTACCACGTGGTGCAGAAGCAGAAGAACCAGGTGCGCCAGTACCTGCACGAGTCGTTTTGCGGCGCATCGACGCAGGACCTCGATCTCGCGGCGTCCTCGTCCTCGATAGCGAGCAGCAGCGAAGGCCAGCCGCCGCTGGTCGACCCGGAACCGATGACGGTGCAAAGCGCCCCGCCTGGCCCGATGCCTCGTCAGCCGGCCGCCAAGCAGGAGCTGCCCCATCTCGCCTCGTACCCCCGCCAAGCCACGCAGCAGCAGCAGCAGCAGCAGCAACAGCAGCAGCAGCAGATCGCGCTACAAACGCGAGTGGAGCCGAGTCCCGATGCCGGCGCCGGAGCCATGTCGCCCAGTCTGAGCAGCGTCGCTACCAGCAATTCCGAGGTAAGCCAACCGGAGCGAGCTTTGCGCTCTCGCGCTGCCCTTCGCCAGAGCCGACTCAGTTGTATACGCACGGCGTCGACGGCGGTGCTCCGAAAACTCCCACGCGGCCTTTTCTCACGCCGCGGCAATTGAGCCCCGCATCGCTTCCACGCAATTGAGTCGCGCGCGTGTATCGGAGATATCATAGATGTGGGAGCTTTCGGAGGCTCGATGTTGACGCCGCCACTTGCCACGGATCGTCGCCTGCGTCGGCGATTAGCGCCTGGTTAGCGAGCGACGCTCGGCCGGGGCAGAGAGCACCGCGCGCGCGCCATTGCGCAACTGCATCTGACGACGATCTCGCTGGCATTGCGCAAGGAGCTTCCTCTCGCCTTGAATATTGAGCACATCCTTCTTTGCTCCGTTTCCGTCGCTTCGCTCGCTCGCCGCCTCGCGGGACGTCGGCGCAGCAGCGCCGGAAGCTCGGCGACCGACCGGACTCGTCGTCGGCTCGACTGCGCGTCACCTGCGCGGCTTCGTAGCTCGCTGGCTGGCACTTTTGCTCTCTTCATTCGCAACGTGGAAGCGGATAAGTCAATCTTAACGCGAGCATTTCAACGATGCAAGTGCTATCGAGAATGAAGCTGAGAAACAACTAAAATAAGAGAAACTTAATTTTTCGGATGTAATGAAAGCGCAACAGGAGTCGCGCGGCAGCCAGTCTAAAAGAAAGCGGAGTAATGGTTGGTCGCTAGTCATTTCCCGCTGAAGGTGGGAGAGAGAGAGAGAGAGAGAGAGAGAGGTAAAAAAAGCGCAAAGCGTTGTTGGGTGTTGCGGCGCTAAGTAGTGGCAAAAGCGCGTTCTCTCTGCTTTTCATTTATTTGTTGATTTCCTTCTCGAGTCGAGCGCGCCGGCGTGTGCGTATATGCATGCAGCCGTTTGGCCTTTCTCGCTAAAAAAAGCCTTTGCCCCGCTCATTAGTCGCGTCTTTTCTCGTTCGCCTCGCAGCGCGATAATTAAAGGGGCGCTCGCTCGCGCGCGCGCACTCGACCGCTTTTACGCGCCCGTGATTCGACGATCTTTGACTTGGCGCTTTTCTCGCTACGCTCATTTCTCTCTCTCTCTCTCTCTCTCTCTCTCTCTCTCTCTCTTTACTTTCACCACGCACGCTGTTTCGCCCCGCTGTACAATTATTCAATTGTCCCGGCAATTACGACGCGCGGGAACGGCTTTTTCATCAAGCGCGGAAGGCCGACAATTATTTTTGTTAATCTGGTCAGAAAGGTCGTTCGCGCCGTGCGTATTTGCTTTCCTGATTGTTAGTCTCCTTTGCACGCGCGCGCGCGTGTCGACCTCCCAAATTTAGCCGAAAATTTTCAATTACGTAAGTCGAGTAGCGCGCCGATTTTTATTTTAAAATGTTCCGCAATAACAGCAGTGGATCCTTGCCAATGTTAATCTCGTGCGCATATATATGTTAATCGTTGACCTGTCACATCATCGCAGGGTTACTCGACAGCTGTACGTGAAATCCTTGCTCCTTTTATCATTGACGAAAGAGCGTTTGCTCAAGCTTAACTTGGCCTCGGAAAAATATACATTCAGTTTTTCATCGGCGTTTCGCCAGAGAGCGGAGTTTGTATCTTCCGTGGACTGGCGGATACTACCGGTTTCAACTGGTTCGCTTGTAAAGACGAGCTTTCACGAGGTTCTGCAAGTGATTATCCACTGGTATAGTCCTTCGAAGCAAGTCGATTTCTCAGCCACGTGGAAAATTTGGATTTCACAGCGCGATACGTTGAATGCTCTGCTCGCTCAGAGCTTGCGTTCATTCATAATACACTACTGCTGCGAAGTAACTCATGCAGAAAATTAATCGTACGAGTATATCAATGACCCTAAAGATAATTCCAACTCGTCAACGTAAATCAATAGTTATCTGCACGACCGAACTCACGTTGCCATGGAATTTCGCGACGACATGAAAAAATCTAGCTTGGTTCAACTGTACAGTTAAGGGTCTTATCCAAAGCTCCATTGTTATAATTGTCAAAGTTTCCTCGTTACTGAAAAATCCGGAACAACAATGACGCATCGAGTGAGATCGCGAGATAGAAAAAACCAGTGTAAACAACGATCAATCAGAAATGAAGGCATCAACAGATGACGGTTGACAGCCAGTACACTGACCTCGAAAAGTGAGCAGCCACTACGTACGACAATCGAATGTAAATAAGAATCGGCGACCGAATTAAAGAAGAGAGAGAGAGAGAGAGAGAGAGAGTAACTTCGCTGGCAATTATAAATTCCCCGCGTATTCGCCATTCATCAGAGAGACTCCTATACCACTCGTCCACCTCGTGCAACTTTACGATAGGCACTCTCGTATATATTATTCCGCGATGACTCGCTCACGCTCCAGATTCTTCTGCGTTCACCGCTTTGGGGAATTCATTTTTTTCTCTCTCTCTCTCTTGAATGCGAGTGTATAGGTATAAACTTTTTTTATCTGCTATGTACAGTCTTGGTTGTCGTTCTCCTCGAGGAGATAGGCGCGACAGATAAGCTATGGAAACTCGTTTGGTTTTTATGTCGAGCACCTTACCCGATTAACTTTCTTGATTCGAAAGACGCGCGCGCATGGGCCGTTTGATAGTTGGTTATATTACCGCGGGCCGTGACATCGAGGCGACGTTTGCTCGCTATCCGCAATGTCGCGGAAAGAAAAGTGCCCAGGGGAAGGCGGCACTCTCGCACGGAGCCAGTGCAAATTAAAAGCTCGGCAGTCGCGCTAGCCGACACGAGAGTTGCCAGGTCAAGAGGAGCGGAGGAGGCCAATACATACGCAAGGGTTTTCCGGCAGAGGGAGAGAAGGCCTATATCCCTGGCAGCAGACGTCTTGAAAGGAAGAATAGTCTATGGGCTAATATTTGAGCCTCTTCAAACGGTTCCAATCTCGCGCTGCTTTCTGAATAATGCATCAACTTGACTCGCGGGACAAAGTGGATCTCGCCGGCCGCGCGCGCGCGCAGCGTCTGTCCGTTGCACTCTCGTCCTTTCTCGCACCCGCCTCCCGGCCTCGCCCTCGTCCTCGGCCGCACATCTCTGCGCGCGCGCACAAAGTGCAGCCAATTTCAAGGGCCGCGGATGCATCGGGAGAGGCCGATTTGATTTCTCAGAAGAAAGATGGATGGCGTACCTTGTATCCGATTGTCTCCTATCCTCCGCCTCTTCGGTGATGTGTGTTATCAAGAGAGCTTTTCCAGAAAACGTCGTTACCATCCACTCGGCAATTGCTTGCGCTGCAGATTCTACCGCGCAGATATGTAATCTCTCGTGCCGTGGCTGATCGCCGTGTGTATACGCGTTCGTCGCGTTATGTCACGTTCGGCTCGTCGAATAAAAAATCCCATTCTATCAATGAATCGCATTGGCAATGTGGCGCTCGCGTCGCTTGCGGAACCAACGAGATTGACAACGTTCGGCACAATCGAGCCGCGCCGGTCGGATGAATCGCTGCTTCGCGATCGGAAATTCGCACGGTACCACTGATTAGCTTGGCAAAGTATCGTGCGCGCTGAACGAAAAAAAAAAAAAAATGGAATCTTCGATAGCCTTGCGGGAACTTCCTGCGCGCGTATGATTACGAAACGAAACACACACGTTATTGGTTACAGCACCTTCGTAGTTGCTTTGCGAGCGCGCGTAAGATGGTTCAAGGATGTTCCCCCTCTGACCACGGGGCGATAAGGAGTCTCGAGATCCTTTTCGAGTTCGGTTTGTTTGTTTTTCTTTCTTTCGCGACGCGCTACTCTTCGCCGACACGACGGCCCGGGCTAAAAAGCCGCGTAAACGCCGCCGCGAAATCCCATTACGAATTTCATGAAAGTTTCATTGCGTGAAAGACAGATATATATACTTGTCAACGCTTGGCGTTTAGCGCCGGGATAGCAAAAGTTATGTAAAATCTTGGCCGCGATGCCGCGATGCCGCGATGCCGCGATGCCGCGATGCCGCGAACGGCAGATTTATTTTCTTTCTCTTCCTCTTCGTCTTCTCTTCGCTCTCTTCGCTCTCTTCGTTGTCTTCGTTCTTTCCGTTTCGGGTGAAAGTTATTCGATATTTTTTTGGCCGTGCGCGTGGACTACGAACGACCGCATTAGCGTCCTTGGCAAAGACAACAAACAGCGCTATATGCCGTTACACGAGCACTCGACGAGAATGACAATGAAACTCTTTTTCCTTGAATTTTCCCTTTGACATCAATTACCCGCGGCGCTCTCTTGCGCGAGCGATAAAGTCGATAAAGTTTTCGATCGGCGAAGGTCAAAGCTCGCCGCGCTTCGCGAGTTGCGATCGAATTAGTTTTTTTTTCGCGTGACCAGCGACTCATTCATAGCTGCAACTGGTTCGCGTTCGTCGCACGGCTAACAGGCCTTTTCGTCGTATTATCCTCGGAACGGGAAGAAGAGCGTGTGCGTGTCGCCGCGTGCAGTTGCGAATTAGTCCACCGAGTCGCGAGCGATTATCGTGCGCAAAGCACACGGCAGTTATTTCGCCGACGAGCGCAAGCGCCGAGTCACGCTTGTCAACATCTGCGCCAGCTCGAATCTATGTATGCTAAATTTACTTTGATAAGTTGACGGCGAGTATCGGATCGAAAAATCTCGTCGCTCATCGCGCATCGGCTACCAAGTGGCGGCGAGACATTTGCCGAGCGCGCCAAGGAAATAGCTGAAATTTCTTATGCCGCCGCGCGACAATTCATTCCTCGAATCGCTCGACCGCGAAAGTAGTTGACTCATATTTCGAACGAGAGATTGACAGGTCCGATTGCCCGTTGGGAAACGAAGGCACAACAACGTCATTAAGCGGCCCGAGCGGGAGAGAGACGGAAAATAAAGTCCAGAGAGAGAGAGAGAGAGAGAGAGAGCGCGCGCGCGGGCGGATCTCGCGAACGGCGGCGCATCGAAAAGAAAGAATAACCGGCATTTGTTTGCCGACGCACGTAGGCGCGCGCG